GGAGACAGCAGACATCTCTTTTTGCTCACACAGCTCAGGTGGGGCTCCGCCCACAGCGCCCTTATATACCGGCCGCCACTGCCTCTCACCCACCTCCAACTTGCTGATTTTCCTTTGGTCTATTTTCAACAATTACAATCAAGCAGAGATTGGTGATGATGATGACACAGTTGCTGTCTTTATGGATCCTCCAGTCTGTGAATAAGTATTCAGAAAACACTAGCATTGAGAAACAACTTACCAAAGCCTTGAGCTAAGCTGGAGGGTGTATATAAAATATGCATATGCAAAAAGCTCTAAGAGGGCATCCATGTATGTATGTTAATGGGAGGAAGAGGTAACAGGCACAGGTTTGCATTGGCACATACTTATTTGTACACGTTGAACAGTGTTAATGCACATTTGTATTTGTAATGCACACATTTTCTTGTTCATTTCTCATACAATAATCAACACAGAATTTCTTTGTCTTGATGACTTTAACAAATCCCCTTCTGAACGATTTCTGCAGCATCAACTGTCCAGGCTAGGCCTTCTCAGATTTTTCTTTAAATAACATTGAAGATAAATATTAAGCTATACAATCAAAAAATAGAATGAAAATTAAGTGATACTACAACCTACTATCAAAAAATTCTCTGACAAATAAAAAGTTAAAATATTTACTAAATGCATTTTTATGTTTTTATTTTAATAAAGATGTCTTTTTTTTTTCAAATGGCTGTCATAGACACCTCTGGGTTTATTTAGTAAACACCCATTTTACCCTTTGAGAGTTAACACATAAAAAAACCCATAACACATTGGTAGCTCTTGATGCTGATCCATCTGTTGTCTGCAACAGCAGGTACCTTGGCAAAAGAAGTAACAGACTGCTAGTGAGCTAGCTGAAGCAGCCTTCTGAGAAATGATCAGGGACTTTTAAAGCATGTGTTCAAGATGCCTTGAGAATTAAAAAAAAAACAAAAAACATTGGAGCTTGTTAATCTTTGCTTATAATTTCTTCTTTCTAACCGTGTTTATAGCCATTTTTATTCAGCTCTGCAACTTACAATCTATCTAAAGTAGTAAACTTCAAAATAAAAGCTTATTTTCATAATACAGGAACCAAAGCAAGATTAACACAAGACAGACCAAGTGTCAAGGTAAAAGCATGCCAAAAATCCATTAATGAAGCAATGTCCTTGCCGAAGAAGTTTTGGTCACAGTTCGAATGATGAACCATAAGTTTGAATGTTACTAGAAATAGATGATGACATGAAAGGTAGTTGTATTAATTAGGTTTATGAAGTTGTATGTGGCTCCACCCTTGTCTTACCTTTTCCCTAATTGGACTGGTTGTGTGGTTTCGAGTTTTCTATCGTCATCGCAATATTATATGACCACGGTAATCATGAGGTGGAAATACCTTGACAGCCCTACACTAAACTGATTGAAATTGATCCGTTATTTGCACTTTTGGCCTGTCTCCTGCTCGCACGTATCATTCCAAATAAAATTAGATATAATGCAGATAAATACTTCAGATGATTACAAATGGAGCCCAGTCAACGTGAAAGTAAACAGCATTGGTGCTACTGTAGATGACAACAGACGACCAGCAAACACAATGTTTGCAGGACTTCTTCAACTAGGATAAAGTGACATACTCCAGGACCCGAGGTAAAGAGTTTAGTGGTGCTACAACACGCAGCAGGTCCCGTTTGACAAGAAACACCTCCGTTACAGACACTTGGCTTACTTTGTTAAAGTGGTTTACCTGTCCAGCAGAAAGGTTTCAGGGTCGAAAGAGGGTTTACAGACTGAAAGATTTAGGGGCAAAACATGTTTACTGCTCTACTCTCTTCCAATAAATAAGACCTTGAAAATATTTTTGAGTGAATGAGACCTTGTGTAAGCCATTGATCCTTATTGATTAATACAATTATTCTGAGAGATGTCTCCGAAAGGGGAATGAAGGGGTGTACTCCAACCACACTTTTTGTTTTTGTAGATGATGTCATCATAACATATGACATATGCTAGAAAAAAAAAAAAGGATTCAATCCTTTGTTGGGTGAAAGTGAGGTGTATATATGCCTTTATCTCCAGAACTGTCTCTCCAAAGTTCATACATGTTTTCTGAAGGTTTGCAATCCACTTCAAGTTATGGGCTCTACATGATTGGCTCAATGCACATGGTGCAAAGTAAATCAGGTTTTGAGGGCCCTTCTTTGGTGGTTAAGCAGCCCAAAATCAGGGTGCTGAGGCACAGGGTGTAGAGAGGTTGCATTAAGCTCCTTAATTATTCAGTGTCTTTTGGGTCTATAACCCCTCGCACCAATCAGCTTATTTGCTCTCATTCCCTCTGAGAGACAGGTGATCCTGCAAGCCAGCATTATATCATATTTCAGCCTTACTGCTTGAATACACCAGGCTCAGTCTGGCATTAAGCCTTCTCCTCTACTGTACCCCTAAAACGCAGGAACACACAGGTGTTTATGAGTTACTTTACATCCAGAGAGTATTCACAGTGCCACACTTTTTTCACATTTTCTTGTGTTACAGGCTCAAATTGGATGGATCAAATTCATGTTTTACCTCAAATTTGACACACTATACCTCATAACGACAAAGTGTTTGTTTTGAACTTAATTAAAAATAAAAAACACAAATATGACATGGGCATAATTATTCAAAGCCTTTGCTCAGTACTTTGTAGATGCACTTATTGCAGCAATAACAGCCTCAAGTCTTTTTGAGTATGATGCTACAAGCTCAGCACACCTACTTTTCGGCAAGTTTTCCCATTCTTCTTTGCAGAACCTCTCAAGCTTCAACAAGTTGGATGAGGAGTGTTGGTGCACAGCCATTTTCAGATCTCTCCAGAAATGTTTAGTTGGGTTCAAGTCTGGGCTCTGGTTGGGCCACTCATGGACATCCACAGAGTTGTCCTGAAGCCACTCTTGTGTTATGCTGGCTGTGTGCATAGGGTTGTTGTCCTGTTGAAAGATGAATCTTCACCTCATTCCCAGGTCGAAAGCACTCTTGCTGCACAAGTCTCTCAGTTCCTGCTGCTGAAAAAACATCCCTACAGCATGATGCTGCCTCCACCATGCTTCACTGTAGGGATAGTAATGAGTAGTGCGTGGTTTCCTCCGGACATGACGCTCGGCATTCAGACCAAAGAGTTCAATTTTAGTCTTATCAGACCAGAGAATTTTGTTTCTCATGGTCTGAGAGTTCTTCAGGTGTTTTTTGGCTGTCATGTGCCTTTCACTGAGGAGTGGCTTCGGTCTGACCACTCTTCCATACAGGCCTGATTGGTGGAATAATGCAGAAACAAGCTCTGTCAAAGTGACCATCGGGTTCTTGGTCATCTCTCGCTGTGCTCATTCAGATTGGCCGGATGGCCAGCTCTAGGAAGAGTCCTAGTGGTTCCAAACTTCTTCCATTCATGGATGATGGAGGCCACCATGCTCATTGGGACCGTCAATGCTGCAGACATTTTTCTGTTCCCTTCCCCAGATCAGTGCCTATACTTCGGAGATCTACAGACAGTTCTTTGGACTCCATGACTTGGCTTCTGCTCCAACATGCACTGTCAAACATCAGACCTTATATAGACAGGTGTGTGCTTTTCCAAATCATGTCTAATCAACTGAATTTACCACAGGTGGACTCATTGTATTGAAAAAGACATGCAGATTTGCATGATGTAGAAGTTTGTGACAGCCTCTATCTGGAATATTTGGTCCATACCCTTGGCAGAGTTGTAGTTGTTTTTTTATTGTATTGAAGAGTTATTTGGTAGTTCTTTTGTTTGAGTATGTTAAGGGTGAGCTGCTTATTTTAGTTTGTACCCACTGTTCTCCTAATAGGTTTAGTTTTTTAACCAAATTACCATAAACTGGTCCACTTTCTTGATGGGCGGCACAGTGGTGTAGTGGTTAGCACTGTCGCCTCACAGCAAGAAGGTCCTGGGTTCGAATCCGGGTCAGGGCATTTCTGTGTGGAGTTTGCATGCTCTCCCTGTGTCTGCGTGGGTTTACTCCAGGTACCCTGGTTTCCTTCCGTATCCCAAAAACATGCCTAAGTGGGGTTAGGTTAATTGGCCACTTCCAAATTGCCCATAGGTGTGAATGTGAGCGTGAATGGTTGTTCGTCTCTATTTGTCAGCCCTGCAATGAACTGGCGACTTGTCCAGGGTGTCCCCTGCCTTCGCCCGAAGATGCTGGGATAGGCTCCAGCCCCCCTGCAACCCCAGGAACGGGAATAAGTGGTAGAAAATGGATGGATGGATGGTCCACTTTCATTTGTTCTGGATAGGTTAGTTTTAAAAAGAGGTAACTTGTCTTCTTTGTTGTTTTAGGCTTAGGTCACCTTGACATATTATGGGAGAATCTTTTCTTCCACTTTTATGTTTTCCACCAACTGCCCTCGATGAGTGCATAACACTCTCTGATAAATATGATAAATATGTTCAGTGGTGTGGAGTATGGGTGGCTGCAGTGTTGCCATTCAGCATTTTGCTGCATAAAAGCACATTCAATATCTGTCTCCTGAGGGGGTATTCCATCAACTTCGCTTAAGAAAGACCAGCTCACCTAAAACGTCCCTGCTTGAACTAGCGCCATCTCCCAATTAAGCTGCAAATTTTTCCACTAATACAATCAAGGCAGACTTGCATATTCTCCCTTTGCACATACACCAGGGGTACTGAGAAATGGATGGAAGAAAAGTGGATATGTTGGACCTGTTATAGACCTGAGTGTACCCCTCCTCTCAGCACCAGATTCCATAATTCTAAATAAATAGGACTGCAGTTCCCCCCACTGGTTTTCTTTATAGTCATCTATTTTCTAACATGTTCACCTTTATAATGACGTCAGGGATTAGAGCACTGTTCACAGCTTTTTGCACAGCCACTTCTGTCTTACTGCCCTTGTTGACTGCACTGTCATTTCTTCTTCCATCTTTCTTGGGCAACAGGCCAATGTTTCGCATTTTGGCTGGTGTATGAAAAGCTGCATCACAGGACATAAAATTATCCAAGTACAAGAGTCTGGGCCAAAGAATGGAAAAAATCTGATGCAGAAACGGTATCTTGTTTTCCTCACCACCTAATGTATGATGTTTTTTTTCTTTGTGATTATCAGAGCCTCCATCCTGGTCATTTGCCCAGCCTTCCCACTAATCCAAAACTCTTTTCATGGTTGACAATGTTAAATTTGAGTAAGCCCTTCCTTCTTCCTCTCCTATTGTTATCTGCCAAGGGTCTGAACACAAATAACAGTTATTGCAAACATTTCTTCCTCCATGCATCTCCATTTGGGGCACCAGTTGAAGCAGGATGGATATAAAGTACATGTCAGCCCACAACGTTCCTATTTGCTGTGCCTTTTTTTTATCCTGGTGAATTTTTCAGGTGTTTTAGACCACTAAAATCGTTTACTTTTCTGGCACCTCTCTTACTTTTCCATTTAACGGGCTGTGTATAGGTGACACTTGTTAGGTGCACAACATTTAACACTATTGAACATGATTGTGTCTTTCATTTGGAAGCCAGTCAAGCAGTCATTCCACTAAAAAAGAGGATTACAGGTTTATGTCACTGTCCGAATTCTTGTTCACAGCAAGCCTTTTCAATTCTTTACACTTCGATGCTTTTGCTTTCCCCTCTTCTGCCGGTGGACACAGGGTCAGTCTCTCTCTTTGTATTACCAGCTCCATCTGTGGAGGTACAAATCAATACAACATGTAACAATGGCTTATAGGCCTCAGGGTGTAGTGTGCAGAAAGGTCACTGCCATACATTATGTATGATTGCCAGCTAATGGTCATTGTGCTTGCAGACAAATGGACTGTAAGCAGCTCCCTTGTGTGATGATCACTATTGCACAAGATCGACACACACACTTACAACCTATACACACACATACACACTATGACACAGGATTTGTTTCAGGGTATACAGACAATGATTGTGTACAGATGTGTGTGATCGATGGGTAAAAGTCCCACATGTGTGTGTATCCTGCTTGTAATACACACATCTTGACTCCCAGACATGTACACTTGTGTGATTGTTCCATCAAAGTTGAACAGACTGTGTTTATGTGTGTAATGTAAGTGACCAGTGTAGCTGAACTTCCAGACACACGTGCTTGTGTAACTTTAAAAAAAATAAATAAATAAAAATAAATGTCAGGTGCTGTGTTTTTCTCTGTATAGCACATTTTCTTTTTACATGATGTAGTGAGATTGTTTTAGAGCTTGCATGAGGGTAGGTGGAGAATTTTGCTCATATAAACATTAAATAGATTCTGCAGTCTGTATTATTACAAAGCCTTTTAAAAAGGCCAAGTTGGTGGCACTGAGCATAGACAACAGCTTGACTGACTGACTTCATCTTTTCTAAAAACTCAAATCAAGACTACTCTCACCACTCTCACCGAGCTCTGCCAGTTGTAGTTTATTTGGCAAGTTTCAAAAATGCTCAAAATGGTGTAGCTACATCCATCCATGGATGTAGCCTTCCCGTCCTTACCTTCCTGTCTTTACCAACATTGACTCTTCTGTGCAGTGTTGATTCTGACAAGGAATTTCATTCAGTTTTAATCTGAAGTCATTTTCAGAATATTGTGGTTTAGTTCATATCTTAGGCTGAAATCTGATGAAACTATACTTCCTCATTACAGGAAAACTGAATGCCTCAAATGTGTTTTGAATAATGCGATAAGTCTAAAAAAAAAACAAAAAAAAAAAACAAAAAAACAAACAATGGTTCCCTCTACACTACATGGAACAGAATTTAAGTTTGTTAATGTTTGCTGAATTACTTAACATCTGTATATAAGTCTGAAGAAACCATAAATCATGTTTTAGAGGGAGTGGGTGGATGTGTACCATGATGAGCTCAGCTCAGTTACAGTTAAGAATCAGTCAAAATAATGCAGAATTCCAATCCCCAGCAGGTGTTGGGTTGAGTTTTCCAACCATGTCAAAGAATACTATTACATCAATGGAGACTCGGTTCAATGAAGAACTTTTGACACCAAGTGGAAGTAAAGTCATTTGCGCAAGTGAATTACAGGTAAAGTCAATGCAAAGATGCAATTAGATGTGCGTTCTGATCACACAGGTGTCAGTATTGTCCCTGATGTTGTCTTTGTTCTGTTCTGGGTGTTTTACAGTTGCTGCTCTCATTGCCTCGGTTTTTCATGTATGCAAATGAAACAGAAGATATTTGTGTGCTCTACCTGCTGCAGGCTTTGACATTTCATGTAAGCACCTGTAAGGGCAGGGTGCTATCAGAGCAGAGCCATACCACCAAATATGACTAATACATGTGAGTTATTCATTGTTTTGGTGAAAGTGTTCCTGACTAAACATGATTTTAGAAGAAAAGAGACACGCCCATGGTGATGTGGAATAATGAGCAGTGCAAAATAATTTGAAGGGTAAAAATTTTGTGAAAAAGGAAGGTGAAAAAAAAGAAAAACACAAAATAAAACAAAGATTAGAGGGAACGCATAGGAAGTTATTTTGAATCAAACAGGAGAGGGGAGAAAGGGGATTTCAGCATGAGAAGAAAAAGAGCTGCAATCAGAGAGCACGTTAAGAGTTAGAGACTGGACTAGGAAAGAGGAAGAGAGAGGTAATTTGTATTGCATTCCCGTTGCATCAGTTCAGAGTAACAAGATTTGGAGATGCAGGCTAAGACACACCGATAGGTTTCACACACACACACACGCACGCACGCACACACACACACACACACAGTCCTGTGAAGCAAAAACTGTTTGCATCCCACTACCACTTAGCCCCTGCTAATGACTTTGTAAATGTTTGTGTGAAATGCACAGAAAGGGGAGAAATGAGACCATCCTACACGCATGCAAGCATGCACACACGCACACACACACAAAGAGCACTATCAAGAAGAAATACCAAGTAATCCCTCATGAAAGCAGTTGGTAAAGACAGTGACCTTGAGCAGCAGTGAATAAAACTATCTACTTAGATTAAAAAAAACAAAAAAACAACAAGTAAGGCCACTGTAAGAGCAAACCCCTTTGTAGAGAAAAGACAACTAAGGCCCGAACTACACGTATATGGATATTTATTTATCAGGATATTTTTGCACTCCCGTCTAAATAAATGTATCTGTCCACACGTGTTCCTTCTCAAAAATATCTGCGTCCACACGTAGCCTTCAAACTCAATCCTATCTGGTGCCGCTTAAAAAAAATATTCAGGAACAAAGCTACGTACATGATTGGCCGATGAATCGTAACAGCGTGATGCGTCATGCATTGTTTGCTGAAGCTACGCTAGTGCGTCGGGTCCATGTGACGGACCATGTGACCAATAAAAGTATTGGCCGCAGCAGACGCGTCTGTGAGCTGGCTGACTGGTGGATGTAATTGTATAAAACAAGGTTCACTTGCAAGGCTGAAATTAGCCCCAAAAGGGCAAAACAAACGTAAAGAATACCCTGTCTGTCCGTCATCGTTATTGTTGTTTTTCTTTTTAATTCGCATGCGCGAGCTGCGGTTTGACGTCATCGATCCGTAAAAGTCCAACCACACGAATCCACTACGGATACGGGATACGGATATTTTTTTATTTCTCCACTTGTTTTTCCGGATTCAGATTTATCCGGTTTGAGTGCTCCAAACTCCCGCTTTGGTGTGGTAGGGAGGCCTAATTGAACATAAATATGTGCGGTTTGAAATATATCCGCATTCGTGTAGTTCGGCCCTAAGACCTCTTATGTCTGTTAAATTAGGGCAGCATGGCCTTTTGCTGTTATGGTAGCAAGATCATGGGCTTGCCTTAGCTTAGGCAAACATTTTAAGATTTTTGTTGTCTTTCATGGGGATAAAAAAAAATGCTGACGCACATCAGTTATGGTCAAACACACCGTAACACCAAGTTAGGATGAATGTTGAATATAAATATGATGAATAGCAATACACAGAGGTCTATGTCTCCACGCACATTTTGTATGTGTGCTAAAGATGCGATAGTTCATTGCCTCTTTGTCTGACTGCATTTTTACGTGAAGTAATAATCATAAATTTTCCACTGCATTTGGTGATCGACTTGCCAGGGAGTGTCTAACTCGGTGTTACGGTGTGTTTGACCATAACTTCAATTAATGCGGTGTGTTATGTTACTACACACTCATATGAAATTCCTCAACAACTGAATTCTTAAAGCAAACCATGTGGGAGAAGCACCCAAATGAATGAGACAGTTGGATGGCAAAGCAGTGTGGGTGCTTTTTGGATGATGTGTTTAGCATCAGATCCTTTATCATGAACCCTGCATTCAATGACATTAATCATAATGAGTGAGTATTCGATCTGACTCCTTTACTAGCCAAAGTATAAGTTGGATTAAACAATCAGGGCTCTTGAAAGTCTCCTCTCAGGAAGCTGCAGATGGAGATCAGGGACCCCTCTTTTCTCTCCTCACACCTCAGAGACACTCCAAGTTTGAAGAGTATAAAACCAGTAAAGTTGGGGTGCTCGCTCTCTCATATTTTCCTCTCTTGCCTTTTGACCTTGCCCTTTTGCTCTTGCTTTTCCCTTTTTTTTCTCTTTTTGTTTCAGCTAAGTTCCCTCTTAACTTGTTTTCTCTTTGTCTTACTTTTTCCAAAGTTTTTGCCAAGTGTTCATTCATGTTTTTTTGATTTTTCTTTAACATCCTATTAGTTCAAGTTGTGAAACTTCAACTTTTTGTGCACATAGCAATTCAAGATAAAGCCTTTCATTGATTTTTCTTTAATTTAGCAAAGCCATTTTAGAAATACTTTCAACTGGTCATTGAAGCCTCTTTTCCTTGGTTATCTGCATGATTGCCAAGTCACCTCTGAACGCCACCCAGCAGGGCCAAAGACATCCTCTGAACCAGAGTGTTGCAGTGAGACCAAAAGAGCATCCAAAGGATCCATAAGGCATTGGTTTTTGCATTCAGGCCTGTGTGCTGTGACTCCTGGCCTGTCCTTCGTCTGACTTCAGTCCTCTTCAGAGCTGAACCTCCCAAACCGGTAGCCTCAGACCTTCGGAACCTGCTCCATCCTCTCCAAGGACCAGCCTCACTTAAGTATCCAACCTCCAGAGCTCCGAACAGGGCTGATGGTGTCTCATGCTTTATAATTCAGATAAACACATCCAAATTTATCTTTACACAATAGTTAATGTAGGAAGTATATTCACTCACTATCATTAACTTTAGTAATCCTAGCCTGACTCAGAATCTTTCATTCATCTGTTATCTATATTCATTGTATTTTCATTTATTGCATGTATGTTGTACCATCATTTATCCTGTAATAAACCGATCATTTTTCCAAGTTCCTGTCTGTTAGTGTTGTTCCAGAAGTGGAGTCCCTGAAATGAGAATTTCGGCTTGAGATATGAGATTGATTAATTCAAGATTAACTTAATGTTTGATTTCTATACTAAACCTTTGTTTTTCTTTAATTTCTCACCATTAAAGGTGGGTGGTGCCCCCTTTAACGAGTGCATAAATATCATAAATCATGATTATTATCAAATATTAATCTTAAAACATTTATTATAAATTCAAATCGCTACAGTATTGTTTTCTTTTTGGGAAATCCCACACTTTTCATCCATCAAAAAGTTGCATGGATCAAGCTTACTCAGATGTCAAAGATTTTTCTACTTAAAAAAGAAAAAACTCACAACTTATGTGAACAGTTGTTGTTAGGAGGTAGTGACAAATAATAAAATATGCTCGCACTAGTTTACAGAATGTGTTTTCAAAATTATCTAATCCTATGACTTTGAAGATTTAGCTTAAAAGACTGCACCCCAGGAATATCACTTCTTAAGACAGAATCTGCTCTTGTTTGTACTTTGCTTTCAGTAAAGAAAAAATTAAATAGATAAGATGTACACACAATGCATACAGGACAACACCTCTCAGCACCGCTGGTCAACAGTAACTCAGGAAAGAATCCCCTTGGCTGGAAAAAAGAAATGCTCAGAGATTTTAACGGCAAACTTTCCTCTGCATTCTGGCTTGGCTTGACAATCATTCATTTCGTGATCCAAAAGCACATCAGCTCACAGATGGTTGAGTTAGCTGTGACCTTTCAAGACTTCTAGGTCAGAGGTCAGCCGTAATCTACCTATCATCATTCCTGTCATAACCTGTCTGACATTTTACTGCCTCTGACTTCAAATGTCAAGCCATAATCTGTATGGATGAGTATTGAATGACCACAGCTCCCTGTCAACCTGTGAATATTTTTATTTTTACCATTTTCTGTAACAACATTTATTGGGTTGTTTTCATTAAGAAACTAGCATATGATAATGGCATGAAATTGAAAGCTTTCTACTTCCTAAGATTCCTTTCATTTCTTCACAGAGTAAGCTTTAATTCTGTTTAAACTGCCACAATTTTGTTTGTAGAAGAAGATGTTCATTGTTGCTGTTGCACCTAAAGGTGTAAAATGGGTTTTTAGTTGTTGTGATGTATAGGGATTCACCAAAATGAAAGTTCTTGGCCGAAATTCAATCTTAGCCTTACTAAAAGCATTTTTTATACAAGTATTAGATCAACAATTTTCCCATTTCAAGGCATTCTACAGAAATACAAAATGAGAATTATGAGATAATGGGATATAATTTTGACTTTTAGATAATCCTCCATTTGAGATCCAGATAACAAGATAACTTGTTGAGAATGTTTGTCCATAGAGAGCCAATGCGACATATTTGCAGTTCAACTACTTCTCAGTCCATATACTTAGTGTTAGGCCTGACTTTGGTGCTAAAACTCTGTCTAAACCATGCAAGCATGAAAAAATACAACTACACTGCAGACTTTCTGATTTAAGAAAAATCTGTTATATATAGAAAATATGAACGCATGGGGGTCAGGAAGTCCAGTTGCAGGTCTCAAGTACAGGATGTACATACACATGGGACTTTTATAAAACAACTAAATGAGTGTGTGCACATATGTTGTCAGTGTGTGTGTGTGAGTGTGTGTGTGTGTGTGTGTGTGTGTGTGTGTGTGTGTGAGTGTGGCAAGAAAGAAGGAAAGACAAAAAAGACAATGCATGTTGTCATTTTAAAATCATCTACAAATGAAGTAACAACACAGAACTTGCATCCCCTTGTAGGTCTAAATGAATGTATGGGTGCAGTTTTACTACCTCAGCAACAATTTATAAGAATATATTTAAACCTCGCAAACTGTGTTTGTGCAGGCTAAGTGTGTGTGTGTCTGTGTATGTCTCAGTGCACCAGACTGGTGAAGAAAAGAATAACCCAATTATAGAGACAGTCTGGCTCACAGACATACAGTGTGAGCACAAGTACAAAGAGAGGTGCGCATGTGTGTGGGGGTGTGTGTTGTGTAAGAGACAAACAAAGGAGTGCACAGTGAGTATATCTATTTTGTAAAAAGAACATAGCAAAAAGAGGAGGAAAAGGCCAGAAAGCCAGAAAAAAGGACTGAAGGTGAGCTGGTGAAAATAAAACCCAGCTTATAAAAAATGCTGATGTGAGAGAGAAACTCCAATGATGGAATCCGTGTGTCTGTCTGTTTCTCTGTCTGTCTGTCTGTCTAAGGGGGGTGGGGTGAAGCCCTGAACCTAACAATTTACTGAATGTGGTTGCTTAGCAACAGACAGCAGCCACGTACCTAAAAGCACCAAAAAAGGACTTTTTGGCTCATTGAATATTCTGTACTTGCCAAGACAGTATTCACAGCCAAATCTGTTTCCACCCAGAGCTAGATTTAGAAATTCAGATACTAAATCACAGCCCATAAGTGAGCAGGTTGTCCAATTAGGATCTGCATACTTGGTCTTGGATTACATTTTGATCAACAGAATACCAAACATAAACATGAATACAGCACACCTTTTTTTTTTTTAATCTTCATTGTCATTCCCCTCTGCCAGGGGCGGACTGGGACCATAATTCAGGCCAGGAGTTTGACTCCATCCAGGCCAGGCCAATACACATTGACGCAGAAATGCCGGCACCAGCGAAAAAAATTTGGACATTTGAAGCCAGATTTAGTGAATATAATGCTCATGTGAAGAATTCAACATTGGCTACATAACTGCAAATTTAATATGAAGTAAAAACAAAAATATGCCTCTTTGCAACAGCTTCACAGCAAACTTTACTTGACCAAAAAAAAAATAATAATACAACCACAATGTGACACAACTCTTTGCTTGTGAACTAAAAATGTAAACAATCTCTGAGATGCACCTATAGCCTACTGAACTAGATTTTACAGAAGAACATTTGTCATAGTTAAAAAAACTCTATATTAGTCATGCCTTTAACTATTTGTTTACTCATTTAAACTAAGAATGTACACGATCAGCTCGGGACCGGAGCGGACAACGATACTCGATCAGCGCATCTGCGGCCGATCACCTCACAGCTCTACTTCTGGTTGCACCAGCTACGTGTTACCACGGCAACGGGCATGGATTAATTAAACCCTTTTACTGCTGGCCTGGCCTGCTTCCAAGTTCAGTGGCCTGCCTGCGGGCACACTATTCTTTACACAGAATCTTTTTTTTTTTTTTGGGTGGGGGGTCCCGGTGATCCCGATGGTCCAGTCCACCACTGCCCTCTGCCATGTTTCTTAAGTGAGCAAATGAAGTACATTACCTGCCTTTAAATGATGCATAAAAACACAAATCTTCTGTTTCCTTTCCTTTTACTTTGACAAGTTTTTGTATCCACCCCCACAATCTCCCCACTAGTTCTTGTCAGCTCCCCTCTATCTTTTTAGTCATTGTTTTGCAGGCCTGGCTCAAAGATACAGGGCTCTCAAGTTTTAAACTCATCTTGAAGTTAGTTTAATAATTAGTATAATAATCTAATAATAAAATTAGTGATGGGCTGTGGGCTGGATTGTGGTTTTGTAGCATTTCAACACATTAATTGAGGTTAAAGAATAGGTTATCAACCCAAATATATCACAATGACACTGATAGATTCACGATTTATCACGGCACAAATGAATTACATGATTTATGAAAATTAATACATTATTGAAATTGGTAATGATCGTTCTCTCAGATAAAATGTTCCAAATACACTGCTGTCTTTTTCTTTTGTATTCAATAACCACCATTTTTGTCTAAATATGCATCATCATAATTGTAAAAAATTGCTGTTTCCTGACAGAGAGGACAATCCATCTTTGTATGTCACACAAACACAGTCTGAGTTTTCAGATGAACAGACTTAGACCACCTGAGAACAGGGTCTGAACGGTGCTGGTCACACCACAGGGATCCTGAAACGTAAAGACAGCTTTGTTACGCAGCTGAAGGATTCCCATGTAAATAATTTATATTGTCAGAAGCCAATGACAGATTTTTAGGGTGTGAGACTAAAACTCATTTTATCCTGTGTCCAAGAAAAAAAAGTAGTCTGGGTATGCATTTGGCTTCAAAGTTAGGGAAAACTCTTATTGTCAACTCATAAACTCAACTTCCATGGATCATCTTAGAGATGGGGGGGGGGGGGGGTCAAATGCTCAAAGTAAGGAAAAGGTAAGTGAGAAAAAGGTACTGTACCCTTTATACCCCCTTAGTCCTTTTTTTCTTTTTAGCAACCCTTACATTTCTTCAGTTTTATTTAACTTCCTATACCCTTTGATGGTTCTGTCATATTTAATGTCTTCTTTTCTTTTCTCCTTTTCTCGATTCCCTTCCGCTTTTGGTCATTTCTAACAAAAGCTTTTCCAAATTAAATTAAAATCTGTGAATATCACTAGGTGGGTAACACCTAACTACTGGAACTTGAGAGACTGAAAACATTAATCCAGCCACACACACACACAAACACATGCACATTTACAAAGGGGGGGTATCTCAGCTATCTGGTGTGTCGCCTACTGAAAGCTAATCCAGTGAAAACCCAGTCCCTGGCTTGTTATCAGCAGTTTGTGAACAGATTTGGAGAGCGCACACATAAGCACATGTACATTTTTACACACATAAAAATGCTTTTCACATTCACACACATGCAAAACACACACTTGCACACATACATACACAAACACACACGGGGAGTCTGGCCCTGGAGCAGGGAACATCACGCTCCAGTAATGTGATGCTGAAGCAACACTGTGGCAGAGTGGTGTGGCATTAATACTAATGTGCATTACAGAATGAGGAGGAGGTCATGTGCAGATATTTAGAGCCATCAGCATGTGATAGCTGTCTGTTACTCTGTAACCAACTCAGTTTCCTAGAGCAGAGACAAATTCCTTTGTCATCTACATGAATCATTACAAGTAAGGCTTATTACCTCTTTTTAACAGGTGGGACAAAATTCAGCTGCCATAGGCACACTTAAGAGCGTCAGGCAGGAGCTAATGCACATATTTTTCTTAAAGTGCCCTCTGATAGTAAAAAGTTGAAGTAGATTGGTTTAACAATGTTGCATAAATTAATCTGTGCCACACCAAGAAAATGTGAGAAAATTCTTCATAAATCAAATGTTGGCCTGTTTCTTGGACTTTTTATCTTGTAGAAATAGATTTTCTTTTTCACTGTAAAGGTTTCTTCTTTGTTGACTGAAGATGGTGGTGGCAAAACACCCAACTTTAAAGGTTTGCCAGGCCCTCTAAGCTTTTGTGTGGGAGCTGAGTTACTTTTCTCCGTTCATTTTTCATTCAGCAGCTTTAAAACATTTTTTGAAGAGGATACCCTTAAGGAGAAGCAAATGTTCAAAGGACCTTTGTAAACGGGCAAAAAAAAACAAACGCTTTTTTTATGTTGATATATTCCTGACTTTGTTGCTAGAAGTATCAGTAAAAACATGGCACATGAACCAAGGGGTCCACTTTGAACATTCATAACACACTAAGAAGCTTCCCAGCAGTCACCAGTTAAGGCAGGGTTTTTCACCTCTGGAAACCTGCACTTTGAATTTTGCTGACTTGGTTTCACACCTGGGAGATGAAGTAATTAGTCATCAAGGGCCATGCACAAGGATGAGACAGCAAGGTTCTGAGAGTAGGTGTTTCTTAGTTGGGATTTCTAGCACAGTGCCAAGAACCTCAAAGGTGCATTGGAAAGGGAAGGAAAAAGAGCAACAGCTTAAATATTGTACACTGTATTATTGCTGCTGCTATTTAGGGCTTTCAGAAGTACCCCGGTATTCTACTGCCTGACACTGGCTTTTTGTCATTTTCTTTGCTTAGCCTCCACATTAAACATCTCTATACTGCTATGAATACAAGTTCAAGTTTGCCAAAAACACCCACAATCAATCAAACCAGCCAGAGAAGATCAAAACAGACTGTGTTTCATAATTTATTTTACAAGGCTTTATTAGGATCAGAAACAAAGCTCATTGTAATCAGGTTTGTTTGGATTTAAGTTATAAATGAAGGTTAACATTAATTACTAGACTGCATCTTCTCAAGGCACAATGATACATAGCAACCCCTAAGCTTACCATAATAAACAGTTTTTTAATTTAATTTAATTTTTCTATACTTGATTTTTATAGAAACACTCAACTGAACATGTTGAAGCAAGCAGTTGGTTATCTGTACTAATGGAAATGTACAGATATCTGTATAATGTAATGTCAGATATCATACAATAATGGCTCAGACATCAGCTTGTGAGTTCACTAACACAATCCATTTTTTCCCAGTACTGCAGGAACTTATCCACCCGGTGATTTAGTGAGAAGGTCATTCTCTCCATATTTTGTATAATATTGACAATATCTATCCAGTCAAGAACTGCTGGGGGAGCTGCCTGCAGCCACCTTGGTGATACAGCTTTCTTGCTGGCCGCTAGTAGTGTCTTAAACACTACCTGTCTTGCACCAATAAGCAAGCTACGATCATTTTCAATTAGATTGCAGGAAAGGAGCAGTCAATTCCAACACCAAAAACCTTCTGTATTGTCCGTGTCACCTCCTGCCAATATGACTGAACAACTGGACACCGCCAAAATACACTCACCGGCCACTTTATTAGGTACACCATGCTAGTAACGGGTTGGACCCCCTTTTGCCTTCAGAAATGCCTCAATTCTTCGTGGCATAGATTCAACAAGGTGCTGGAAGCATTCCTCAGAGAGCTTGGTCCATATTGACATGATGGCATCACACAGTTGCCGCAGATTTGTTGGCTGCACATCCATGATGCGAATCTCCCGTTCCACCACATCCCAAAGATGCTCTATTGGATTGAGATCTGGTGACTGTGGAGGCCATTTGAGTACAGTGAACTCATTGTCATGTTCAAGAAACCAGTCTGAGATGATTCCAGCTTTATGACATGGCGCATTATCCTGCTGAAAGTAGCCATCAGAAGTTGGGTACATTGGGGTCATAAAGGGATGGACATGGTCAGCAACAATACTCAGGTAGGCTGTGGTGTTGCAATGATGCTCAATTGGTACAAAGGGGCCCAAAGAGTGCCAAGAAAATATTCCCCACACCATGACACCACCACCACCAGCCTGAACCGTTGATACAAGGCAGGATGGATCCATGCTTTCATGTTGTTGACGCCAAATTCTGACCCTACCATCCGAATGTCGCAGCAGAAATCGAGACTCATCAGACCAGGCAACGTTTTTCCAATCTTCTATTGTCCAATTTCGATGAGCTTGTGCAAATTGTAGCCTCAGTTTCCTGTTCTTAGCTGAAAGGAGTGGCACCCGGCGTGGTCTTCTGCTGCTGTAGCCCATCTGCCTCAAAGTTCGACGTACTGTGCGTTCAGAGATGCTCTTCTGCCTACCTTGGTTGTAACGGGTGGTTATTTGAGTCACTGTTGCCTTTCTATCAGCTCGAACCAGTCTGGCCATTCTCCTCTGACCTCTGGCATCAACAAGGCATTTCCGCCCACAGAACTGCCGCTCACTGGATATTTTTTCTTTTTCGGACCATTCTCTGTAAACCCTAGAGATGGTTGTGTGTGAAAATCCCAGTAGATCAGCAGTTTCTGAAATACTCAGACCAGCCCTTCTGGCACCAACAACCATGCCACGTTCAAAGTCACTCAAATCACCTTTCTTCCCCATACTGATGCTCGGTTTGAACTGCAGGAGATTGTCTTGACCATGTCTACATGCCTAAATGCACTAAGTTGCCGCCATGTGATTGGCTGATTAGAAATTAAGTGTTAACGAGCAGTTGGACAGGTGTACCTAATAAAGTGGCCGGTGAGTGTATATGAAAATGGCCTGCCAGCTGTTCTCCACAGGTCCTCCAGCATAGACCCCCTCCCATCTCCCCCATCCGCACACTTTTCAGCTTAGGTGTTACAAAATATCTCATCAAATTTCTCCAACAAAATTCCCTCCAGAGGGCTGAACTGGTAGAGGTAGACTACACAGAGCACATCTACATCCAGTCCACCTCTGTGATCACAAGTCCACATTCCTTTTCCCATTTCAATCAAATCTTATTTGTTGAATGTTCCTTATTGGATTGAATATATGAAAACAATTTTGACACAAGTTTCCTATTTCCCGTACTCTTGTACATGCCTACAGTCAGATTGGTATCACTTTTCTCCCTGAGCTTTATCTCAGCATTAAAATAAGTCCTGGTTGATAAATATCTGAAGAAATCAGACTTTTCTAAACCATATGTACCAGAGAGTTTCTGAAAACTGTCAAATACTCCTCCTGATGAAGGTGAGCAATGGAAAGTGACACCAATTCTATATCAGTATTTAAACCTACCATTAATCCTTGCTGGTTTAAAGTTGGGATCGAAGGCGACCCACTTCAACAGTTGACTGTCTTTGAATTGAGGGTGATGTGCATGCCTTAAACCAAATTCTAAGGGGGACTTAAGTCCATTGGTTTACATGACCAGAATGCTGCTCATACAATTTTTTACTACCTAATATAGCTTATTATGGTATATCTGACTGTGTGGTTTCCAAATCCTTCTACTTAGCAATATACTTTGGGTCACAGCAGCATGCAAGTGGTCTCAATTGTGCTGCCTTATAATAATATCTTACGCACAGTGGCAACCTAAATTGAATTCTTGGTCTCCTGCCTGATATCCACTTATCCCATTCATTAAATTGCTTATGTGTAACCACAACTGGCAGAGACTGGAAAAGGTAGAAGAGGTATGGGAGTAGATTCATTTTTATTGTATCCATCCTATTATGCACATCTAGGGGCAGCTGGGACCACCTGTCAGTATCAGACTTCATGTTTTTGTTTATGGGGCCATAATTGCTTTCAAATATTTTGTAAAGATCCTCAGTTATATGAATACTCAGGTACTTAATTTCTACTGCGTTCGATTTAAAGTTGAATCTATCTAATCTTAACGTGTCTTTCCGAGGGGTGTAGTTAAAACTCAAAATCGGTGTCTTTTGCACGTTTAATTTATAGCGTGAATAGGTTCCATCTTCTTTTAATATAGACATCAGCCCAGGGATGCTGACTTCTGTCTTTGTAACAAATAAAAATACATCATCCACGTACAAGCAAATCATCTGCTCGGTACCTCTAATGTTTCTACCTTTTATCACCTGATCATCCCAAATGGGCTCTATGCACAGCTTCACTACTTCCTGAACTTAAGGCTGCTCCTTTGTTTCCTGTCTTACATCATTGGAAAAACTTATTGATTGTGACTGATCATTGTGACTACTCAGGCACACCTGGATTAATAAGTCTTTCAAATAATGTAAGACAGGAAATAAAGGAGCTGCCTTAAGTTCTGGAAGTAGTGGATTGGTGCATAGAGCCCAATGACTGAGCCAAAGGCTTGATATATAGAGCAAAGAGGGCGGGGCTAAGGGGGCAGAGTTGACGACAGCCTCTCCCTAAATCAATAACCTGAAAGAGTTGTTAGTCAATCTTTGTCCTGGCGTTTGGTGAGGAGTAAAGCATTTTAATACATCCAATTAAATCATCCTTAAAGCCAAATCTTCTCGAAACGGAGTACAAATACTCCCAACGAACTGAATCAAACGCCTTCTCAGCATCTAAGCTAATTGCCATGACCCCGATATTTCCCCTAGTAACATGGTCAATTACATGCAGCACCCTTCTAATATTGTTTTGCATCTGCGTATCACCCACAAAGCCTGTTTGGTCTGTGTCCAACAGCTCCGGTATTATGTGTTCTAATTGTAAACAGTTTTAAGACAAAATGTAGACCCTGCTACTCATTTTGGAGGATATCTTTATCTTTGTGGAACAGTACTCACTGTACACATCATTTCAATTGTCTTTACCACTCTGCTTATCCTCCACTCTCTCTTTTTCAGTGTCTAGTTAAACCCCAAAACCTGGTTGGATAAGGCTGGCCGGTTTTAAAGGCAGGTATGCATAACCAGGATGTGCTATTTTAAAAGAAAAATTAACCATACATGCACACATATGCATGCACAGATCTATTTTTGTATTACAGACATGATCAGCTGCTGTTTTGTTCAAAGATATTGGTTAAGTTTGCTTTAATTGAATTGTTTATTCAAAATAGGCCTTTTTATTTTGAACCAACAGGTTTTACACAGTTTTAACCATTTCTGTTGTGTAACTCATCCTTTCTTGTCCCCTACAACGCTGTGGTTGCTGGCTAGCGATGGAGGCAATGCACTTTGGGTGTTCCCTTGCACCTTTTTGTTGTAGTGATAGGTGTACCGGGTGCTGTAAGTTCATGTGTGGTGGGTAAGTACACTTATTTTACATGGTTGCACTTTTATAGAATCCCTTGAAGCCTTAAGATTGTTTTGTATTTCTCTTCAGTCTGGTCCATCATGAACTTGGTTGCTCTTTTTCATTCAGTAACACACACACACACACACACACACACACACACACACACACACACACACACACACACACACACACACACACACACACACACACATCTATGTCACTCTTCTTTTTAAAAGTTTATACTCTTCCTGTTTTTTGTCCTCTCTCTGTGCCAATCAGCTATCCACACAGTTACCCCCCCAAAAAAAATAAATAAATAAATAAATAAAATAAATTTAATTAACTAATTAATTTAAAAAACTGTCAACTGTATACCTGATAAAGGAGTAATATCTTGCATCTAAGTTTATACATTGAACATCTTACATTAAGGAAGTATGTTATGTGCGTTGCCTCTACCACTGCTTGGCAGTACCTGTGTCTAAATGGGCTTGAAGCACTTTGATACTCTAACTGATCCTGTTTCTACTTGTCTAGATCGTTGCTTGTGGTGTAATTGCTCTCGTATATGCGTTGCCTTGGATAAAAGCATCTGCTTAATGATATTGTAACATAGTAACATAAAAACATGTTTTCCTTTTCTTTACAGTCATGTTACTGTGGAAGGAGGCAGGTTTACATACTGTATATGACACTAAGCACACACAAAGGAGAAGAATCAGCAGACTGTGAACTCATGTTCCCACCTTTCTTACTGTTGTAGCCACCAAGTTTTAGAGAAGTACTGTGCCACTACATCTATGATTGTACTATATGTATCATGGAAGAATTAACTCTCTTATAGTCCTGGTATAACAGATTTGATTCCTTTACACTCTGCAGCTAAAGCAGGCAATGAGAAGCTTATAGTTTGTTCTCATGGCTGGAAACAGGCTGAAGTAGCTAATATTGCTAATATGAAAAACAAGACAACTTTTTCAATAAAACAATAAACACAGTCAATAAATAATAATAATGTCACTTGGGACACAAACTGAATTTTTGATGTGAAAGCATGCAGTATAGAGTGTAACTTGACTTAGTTTTTCACTTAATTGTCCTCTCGCTCCTAAATAACCTCAACAGTAAACCTATTATGCATCCCTTTTTTGTTTGTTACAGAGTATTTTTTAAAATGTTCTATTCTTAATTTAAATTGAAAATGTGGTTTTCAGGCCTAATAATAAAAAACAAAACAGTTCATTTTTATATACAGTATATGTCTATGTCAAAAATGCTTTTAAAGCCCTCTCTGAGTGACAAACTGTTGGAAGTATACCGTAGAGGTGCAGATGGAGGATTTATTCCAGTGATTCTTTGGTTGATTCTCTGTAATCTCTGTAGTCTGAGACAATCACCTCCTGTAGCATGCCAACAATTGACATAGGGATTACTTGTGAGCTGCACAGAGTGAGAGCTCTTGATCAATGAAGGAGGCTTTTGAGAAGAGATCGAAAATAACCCTCTAAATTCCTTGACCAGCTTCAATTTTAGATTCACTTTGTGAGTCGCTGACCTTGCCAGGATACACTGACCCATCCTGATTCAGCTGTATCTTCTGATATACCTCCTGTTTTTCCTGGGGTTTATAAACGTTCACCTAGGGATAAAGACATTGTATGACCGAGGAAGACTGACTTTCACTGCCACATGGGGTCCTGGGGGAGCCAAGCTGACACAAGCAAGATCTATCTTTGTCTCTATTAGTATTGATCCATGCTTCATGTTGATGCTGGCACAGGGGAGTAATGATCACAAACAGCTATCAGGACACACATCAACGGAGTATGATGTACACACAATCGGTACAAGCATGCACACATAAAAACACACTCAAACACATCACCACCTGCCTGTACACCAAGTCTGTTGTACAAAATGTTCCCTTTCTACTCCTGCTGCACTGCAGTGCCTCTACCACACTGCTTCAGCAAAAAGCACACCCGCTTTGAGCTGAATCGAGTTGATTTAGCCGCAACTGTGCAAGAGATGCCAAACCCTCCCCTCCCCATCACGCACACAACTCCTCCTCAAACTCTTCTCCACCTCCTCTCCTCCCTCCGTGGCTGAAAGCAAGAGTAGCAGATAAGCAGACAGCCAGAGACCCACTAATCCTCCCACAGTAGAGACATTTCAGATGAGAATCAGGCTAAATGGACAGAAAACAGGGGTGAGAGGATGAAAGAAGAAGCTACCAGGGAAGGAAAGATAGGCGAGCGGAAAAAGTCAAGTAAGAATGAGCAAAATGGTGGAGACAAAAGAGGGATTCTCATTTTGCGTGCTGTGAAGTGACAGCTAAGAGTCATTTTTATTTTCACTCATTGAGATAATGTTTCGCTTTTTTGAACATTTTTTCTATAAATATTGCTATTTGCAAGCCGAGCCCTCCACTCATTTCTTCTTATCAGCCCTCAATCATTCCCGCAGTCCTCTCTCTCTCTCTCTCTCCCTCTCTCTCTCTCTCCACCCCCCACCCCCTCATCATCCCTTTTTCATTCCCTCCTCTTCATCTCTCTTCCAGTCAGACAGAGCCTGATGTAGGTCAGTGCGTCTGGTGCCTGTCTGGAGCTGCAGAGAGCCTGAGAGCTCCGTGCCTGGTCCTTGTCGACCCCTGCAGCGGCTGCCCAAGCTGAGGACAACGCTCCCTGGGCTACATGAGGACAGAACCAGCCGGACTGACCTGACTTGCCTTGAAGTGGAGGATGTCCCTGCAACTGTGATGTAGAAGATGAGGGAGGAGGGGGATGCAGGGTGATGTTGGGTGACTGTGCAAAGGATTAGTTAGTGCATGATTTATGCCAGTGGATTTTAAATGTTAATGGGTAAGAAGACTGGAAGAGGAAGAGCCGAAAGTAACAAATGCATGGGATTGGTGTCACAGTTTTGTTGTTTTTTCTTGCTGATATGAAGCATTTGAAAGGAATCTCTTAAAAGCGGGACATTTTCATGCAAGTCTGCCTTTGTATCCCCCGTCTACAAACAACCTCTCTACACTTTGTCCACCTTTTTTTTTCTCCTCTCTGCCGAACTTCATCACACTTTATTTCTCTTCCCCAGCCCTGAATCCTGCATGTCTGTAGTCATCGGTAATTCTGAAAAAGAAAGTGAACACGAAACTCCAATGCGACATCATCCTAGAAAAACAAAAAGAAGCCTAACCCAAAAACATGTTTTCTCTTTTCTATTGCAGTATATCCATTGCCGCACTGCTCCATATGGATCCGGATCAAAATGTTGGGTGTCGAAGGTCCCTTTCCTCCATCATGTCCAATTTCCTATTGATGAAACTAAAGACCACAAAGACGACAAGGACATCCATTTTTGCAAAAAGGCAAAAAGCTCTGAAGACTGTTCCATCTCCCATTTCTGCTGTCCGTTCCTCCTCCTTCTCATCTGCTCTCCTTCTTCAGTCTCTCACACTCCTTTGGCTTGTAGAAGATGCCCCCGAAAACGATTGTTGTATCAGAGAGCCTAAATGTGCACTTGTGTGTGTGTGTGTGTGTGTGTATATATCAGTGTTGATGAACAAGTTAGGTGTGTGTGACTGTATACAGGTATGCGTAGTGTGACTGTGTGTGCAGGAGTATGTGTGTGGCTCTTGATCCGACTCTGCAGCACATCTGGTTCCTCCAGCGGTAAACCGGTTCTCAGCTGTTGGTGTCTGGCTTTGAGTTTGTGTGAATGTGTGTTTGCTTTTTAGAGTTTGGGCTGCATCACTGTGACACAGCAATCATATGACCTGCTTCGTCATCACTATGCAGATCTAAGAATGTTAGAATTTTCTGGGGTGTGGTGAAGCCGGGAGGGTCACACCTCCATCTCATCTGACCTCCATCACTTTTTACCAACACGAGTAAAAAGTGATTACAAAGTGAGCCCCAAAACCCCCTTCATTCCTTTAAAACTCAACTTTACTTTTCCATCTGATTTGTAACTCTTAAACCTCCTCTTTGTCCATATTCTGTCATTCAGATAATGTCTTATTTTGTCATTGCAGTCATGCGACACTCATCACTTTCTTTTCTCTTCATGTCCATCTGAGAGGTGGTTTACAACAAGTGGAGGTCAAATGACCATTAAGAGTGTATTTATGGACTAAACACAGTATCATCTAAACCTTTGCAATAAACTGGAAACAATGATAACTCATTTCAACATGCAATTACTCAAACTACAAAAACTTAGGAGTAAAAGCTGAGGCAGCAGCTCCACTTCTCCTTGTGTTTGCCCTTGTCCTTATTTTTTGTCTTTCTCTCCTCAGTGCAGGTGTCTGTGTCCCCCAGTTGCCTCCTTGTTACCTGGTCAAGCCTCTCCACTCCCTCCTCCTTGCTGCACACCTGCCTCCTATCAGCCTGCAGTGTCAAAGAACACAGGACTATAATCTGCCAGATTATCCTACTACCAGCAGTGGTAGAGTCTGCCTTTTGGATTTTTTTTTCTGGCACTCCATAATTGAAGATTTTCTGTTAGATTAAGTCAGTTTCCTTTACCTAGTGCTTTGCCTGCCTGTCACCACCTTCTCTGACAGCTCCCTCAATTAAAGCTCCCCTTGTTGGACAATAAATCGTGTGAGTCCAGTCCATGTTTGGAGTGTTGTTCTTGGGTCCAGCACTGTGATGAGTTTTAACAGTACGGTTAAAGCAAAAATGTTTTTCGATTTTGAAGCTATACTGTGTCAACATCAAAAATGTCACCTTAAAATAAGGAAAGTGGTCTAATGTTCGTTTTATGGACATTTCAGAATAACTCACTTTTAGTTGTGTAAGGGCTGACAGCAGTAGGTGGGTGATATGTTGTGATGACCACCTGCACTGTCTGCCACATTCTCAGACTACAAAAGATGACAACCAGCATGATGATGACTCACACGGAGAAGGAGAGAAGGGAGTGTGTGTATGCAAAAACGACAGTCTTCATTTATTATATGTTTATGTGTGTGTGTGTGTGTGTGTGTGTGTGTGTGTGTGTGTGTGTGTGGGGGGGGGTTATAGCCATCAAAAACACAAACTCACACAAACATCTTGTTTTATGTGAAGCAGGCCAGTCAAGGTTGCATTTCTTTCTTAGGCAGTTGGAATAGTAAGTCCTGGATACCCCAACTTGACGCTAAGGTACATGCTCAGACACTTCTCTCGGATTCAGCACTCCCCGTGTGCCTCTCCCGTTGCCATCAGTGTCAACTGTGTCAACTGTGGCTACTGATTTAGAATGGTTACTTTTGGGCAAGATAATGAGAGTCTTGGTTGTACCCAACATCTTGCAGAAAGGCAACATTAATAAGATGAATGCTTATTTGACCCTGCGGTTAATATTGATGATTTATATTTGAAAAATATATTCAGCATTATTTTAAGAGGCTTTGAAATAAAGGGACCATGGTCCTTTGAAGTGGTTTTCAAAGGTTATTTAGGAGGCTGATGATGCTCAGCACCAGATTTGAATGGGCTGTTTTGGTGTCCTAATATTATCTTGATTCATGTTGAGGAGTACATTATGTTACTGTTGGATTAGTACATCTTTGTTATAATTCCATCCCAGTCTGGCTCTGCCTGAACCTCCTACACTTTAACAGCTCCACTATCTTTTTACTCATCTTCATGCCCGAGACCAAGCTGTGGTGTTTTGAGGGTAACACAAGGCCCAGGCAGCTCTGAAGATGACAGAGCATTAGACCTGATGCACAAGGCTTTGCATCGCAGTGCTGCTGGAACCTTGCATTTGCTGTTGACAGTGTAGAAAACTTAGTGACAGCTGCTCTTTACTCATCACATGAGATTCCAAGTATACCTGCCACACTTGTTTGAACAAAGCTGTGAATGTCGTCGCTGCTATGCGTATGTGTTGTGTTTGTGTGTACCTAGCAGGTGTATGCTTGTAAATAGGGAAGCTAGAGATATAGACTAAAGAAAAGCTCATTATTGTGTTTGATTTATGTAAATCCTAGAAGGATAGAAGGGGGTGGAGTCGTGACAGAAATAGTTTAAAAGTGTTCTAGTCTGACTGAGAGTGATGAATGAAGAAAACTGTTTGCTTGAGCATAAATAAGGTCATATATTAAGATACGATGGGACTAGCCAAATGAAGTTATCCCTCTTCCTTAAATAACAGTAAATAACTGTTGTTTATCAGTTATAAGACCACATTACTTATTAACAGCTGCTCACCTACACATTTTTATTATTCATATCTCAAAACAGTGCTATAGAATTAATTGTGCTGTGCTTCAACTGACACAAATTAAAATGAATAGACACTGTGTAAAATTCACCAGTTCCCCTTTGGCTCTATCTTGACAAAACCTCACAGGCTGTAGTCTTACAGGGCACAGACATGTTCATAATATGATGCTTCTGAACATTGCAGAAGGTGTTGAGCAGGAAGCTGCTCTTAGTGTTATCTCCGTACAGCCCTGGTGCACATTTGGTCTTTATTCTAGTATAGTTTCACTAATATAGATTCATCAGTGAAAACAGCCTGCATCTGTGGTGTATTGCTGTGATGTTTGGCTGTGAACTGGACTTGCAATGATTTCTAAATTCACATTAGGTGAGTAATGTTTGGGTGATTTACTCTCCTCATACATCCCCTCTTCACTACTGCAGTCCATTTACCATAACATACAGCTGCTTTTGTGTCTTCTCTGCATTTCGTCTCCCCTATCACACACACACACACACACACACACAAAAAAAAAAAAAAAAAAAAAAAAAAACTAAACATAGTCAGTGCTCATCCACACGAAAGTAACAACGGTCTAAGAATATCCAATCTAGCTTCCCCTTGCAGCCAGGAGAAGGACGCAGTGTTCACACTCATTTGTGTTTTACACGCTCACTCTTACACACACAGACACACTGAAATGAAAAAAAAAAGAAAAAACACGTCCACAAACACACCAAGCTCTCCTCCCTTCCCGTGGAGTCTGACAGGAATGAGGTCAGACACACCGATTCTCGTTGCAGATTATTAACATTACCAGTTTTATTTTATTCAGCCAATGGCGGTTCAGGGGCGTGACTTATTGGAAAAACCAGGATGGAGACAGACGCTGATTGGATTCTATATCGAGAGTAAGGATATAAAAAGGAGAGGTTTCCGTTGTCATATTTACAGTTGTACACAGAGCGCTCTGGAAACAGGGAGACTATGAGAAAACGCAGATGCTTCACGCAACCACATGGTTTATCAGCAGCACAGACAAGTGCTCCACACAGCCAGGTGCACGATAAGGACTTGCACTGCTGTTGCCCACAGTGTGTTCTAAACGCAGCCGGACGAGTTTTCAACCGTACAGGCAGTTGAGAGTTGCTGTGATTTCTGGATTATTGTTTTTTTTTTTCACTGGTACAAAAAGAAAGAAAGAAAAAGACTAAAGGAACAGAACTGAGGGAACGTTTACCTCCATATTTATCAATGGTCTGACTTTGCAACACCTAAAAGTGAGGCTTTTTTTGTGAAGACCTAACAGGCAAACACACTTGAACTTTTTAAAAACACTGTTCTTAGCAGGGGTTGCCAGACATAGCAAAGGATGGTGCAGCACATGAGCCAGACAGAGAGCGCCCACGCTCATTCCCCCGGTGGAGACTCCACGGATACTGGTGAAATGGACTTGGAAATGGATGCGTCTCCGACCTCCGAATTCCCCTCATCCGGGGAGCGGAGCGACTTGGCATGGTGCAAAACTCCAACGGGGCACATCAAGAGACCGATGAACGCATTCATGGTCTGGTCACAGATAGAGAGGAGAAAAATTATGGAGCAGTCACCGGACATGCATAACGCAGAAATTTCCAAGAGGCTGGGAAAGCGCTGGAAGCTGCTCAAAGACACTGATAAGATCCCGTTCATCCGGGAGGCGGAGCGGCTTCGACTGAAACACATGGCCGACTACCCAGACTATAAGTACCGTCCCAGGAAAAAAGTCAAGTCAGGGAGCGGAGCAAGCAAGCAAGCAGACCGCGGGGAGAAGTTCGGGGAGCGCAGCGCAAAAGCAACTGTGAGAAGAAACCTGGCGTCCAAGGGAGGGAGCAGGACAAACAAACAAGGAGGGTGCATGAGGAGTGCTGTGGGGCAGGACTGTGCGTCTGCCGGTGACCACCACGCGCTTTTCAAATCCAGGTCAGTGTCTGGAGCAAGACAGATTCCAGAGATGCGCACTGAGGAGGCAAGGCGTGGTCACGTGTTTGGCGGGGCAGGCAGCCTGGACAGCGGGCCACCATCCGTGGGAGTCCCGGCCAGTCCAACCCTGAGTAGCTCGGCCGAGTCCAACGACCCGCTCAGCTTATATGAGGAGCAGAGCCCGAAAGGCAGCCAGTCATCACACACTGCGCGCCTCAGATATGCGAGAGCCTGTTCTCCAACACCGTCAGCCTCTCACTCTTCCTCATCTGTGTCCTCCTCATCATCAGACGAAGAGTTTGATGACGAGCGGATCGAACCGAACCCGAGCTCCAGATACGAGACTATGTCTCTGGGTGGCATGGGCTTCTCTGACTCTGAGCTGGACCGGGATTTGGACTGGAGTTTCGGAGAGTGTGGCGCGGGGTCGCACTTCGACTTCCCTGACTATTGCACCCCGGAGGTCAGCGAAATGATCTCAGGTGACTGGCTGGAGTCTACCATCTCAAACCTGGTGTTTACCTACTGAATAAAACCGTTTGGGAGACAAACTGTGACGTCCCACGATGTGAACCATTAAACCCACCCGGGTAGGTTATATGGATGACCAGACCATACTATTTTGACACTTCTGTCAGTACAGACCGAAGGAAGAGGGAGGTCAGTAAATTAAAGGTGGTCTGTGTGCGTATTGTAACGACGCGCCTCTCACAACCTTGCACAACTGAGTGCGTTTGATGGAGCGCACGGATAGGGAAAAGCGTACTTTGCATGTGGACACGGAGGAGGAGTGAATGTAAGCAAAGAGCACACGCTGACTTCACCTCACATGTTCAATTCAATCCTTGAAGGATGAGGACAAAGACTGAACTTTCTATCTTTATTTTATTTTGGGGTCGAGGCACTCTCTGAGGAGCTGACACTGAAGGGTTTTGTCTAAGGCTTAGGAAATCCTCATTCAACATGAAGTCGTTATTGAGGTTAAGTTTAGTTTTTATCAGATTCTAAATAGTTTCGATATCAACACGCATGCCCTCTTCGTTAGTGGAGACTTTTTAGGTGTTTAATGCGTAAAATATTATTGCTGCGTAATTGCGCAATTTGTGTGTCCAAAACACACGTTCACTATCACCAGCTTCAATCTCAACGGCAGGACGAAAACAGACTGACTCAAAACTTCAGAAACTCTTTTCTGATCGCTTTTTAAAAAGTTAGTGCACAATTCAGGACCAATGTTCTCCGACACGCATCCTCTCTGCCTAACTCTCCGACTTTGTAGTCCCTGTGTGTCAATGACGTTTTTTATATTGTTGTATTTATACAGGCCAAATGTTTTTTACACATATAAGTATTGTCCTCGTGCAGGTCTCGTTTGTGTTTGTGCACATACGCCTGTCTGTATCCAGCGCGGAAGGGCTAGAAGTGTGTCTTATTCTAAGTGTCTGACGTTTCTCACTCTTCAGAAGAGTGTGCCATGATTTTCTACCTGTATTTTTGTATAAATCCTATGGGGCAGGGCTTTCTGACAAATAGGTAGCCTGCAACATTGTTGCACTGTTGTTTGGATCTGCATCAGTATTTTGGGGGTGGGGGGTGGAGGGGTGTTGACACAATCTGACCTCACACAGTGTTTACAGTATTTACCCACATGCTTCTTAATGGCACAGTGACTCCAGTTTCACCAGCCAAGTAAACAAAGCACCACTGAGGCTCCCAGTTTGAGTGGTTGCTGTTTCCAGCAAACATAGATAGAACTACGGTTTATGAGTGTAATACACCAGAGTCACTGTTTAGATGGAGCTAATACCTCTGTATGCTTTTTTTTTTTTTTTATTCATAGTTTTATTCAAACCACTGGATGGAATTTCACTCATTCCACTTTGCCTAGACTTTGGAGGGAGAGAGGTGTATGAAGTGCTTCATCTGTTATTGCGCAATCTACATCAACAAATTGTATTTAACCTTTCTGTACCTGTTAGCGAAGTATATCAGGCTAATTGTTTCCCTATATTATGGCATGGCGAATAGCATTTGTATTTCAGATTCAGGTATATGTAGCTATAGCTGTTGTGTTTAAGATTTTTAAAGAATAACATGAAGATATTTATGTAAACTTACTGTATTATAAGCAAAGATTGTGTTTTATGTTTGATTATGACCAACAACAGGCACTAGGACAACCATCTTTGGACACTTTTGTTGCTGAAGATGATTGTGATCAGGATTTTTTTTTTTTGAACTGTTATTATTTCTCTTTGAAGCATTCTGTCATCCTTTTTCATTTGTGCAATATGATGTGTATGATTCTGTTTTGTCTAATCATGCCAATGTCTTTTGATGTTTATAGCTCAATACCAGCAAATGTTTGGGTCAATCACTGCCTCTCAGACCTCTGTACAGATTGTTGTTTTATAATTCTTTTTTTTCCTCCCAAGACAGAAATAAAATCAGCTGGAACTGAAAAATATTGTTTTTCATTCGTTTTTATTTTATTGGCTTCTTAACCTTTTCAAAAGAATCAAAGTGAGCTGAGTGGGATGCCCAATAGTTTTTTCTAGCATTGTGACTGGTTGGACAATTTAAATTAGGTTATGAAATAAAAAGAAAGCTTTTCAAGCTAAACGCATGTTTAGGGAGGGGATCCTTAAATTTCACAATCTACAGTCAAACCTTATTACAAAAATCAGTCTGGCATCATATGGTTATATTCTGTTTGTGTATGCCTGAGAACATGCATGTGTGCTAGTGTGTGTGTGCTGTATATATAGGTGTGCAGCTGCAGATGTGAAATAACAGACAGCTAGTAAGGCAATAGGCGTGGTCTCTTTCTCTCTCTCTCTGTTGTACTCTGATTCTACACGTGCAGAAAACGTGGCTGCCATGGAAACACTGTATCTAAGACAGATGCTCCAATACCCTGTGCCGCTCTGTGAATGTATGTGAGGAAAAAGGGACACAGACTGATACACTGGGGTGGGGTGGGGTAAATGGGTGTATTAGACATTTCTGCAAGGCATGACTGGAATAGAGCAGGATTAGGTTTTGTGTGTGTGTGTGTGTGTGTGTGTGTGTGTGTGTGTGTGTGTGTGTGTGTGTGTGTGTGTGTGTGTGTGTGTGTGCGCACATATGGGCTATGGGAGGAATGGAGGGAGGGAGGTGCAGAGGGGGTATTTGTCTGTCTTGGTGGATCATGCAGGAGACCATTCACATATCCAATTAATTCTTTCTGGATGCATTCATTTGTCTCTTCTATCTGATGAGAAGGAGAGAAAGAGACAGCCCCTAAGGTACTGTATTTAGTGTGTATCAATTTACGCCCTATTCCACAAGAGACATTAGTAATTATTTCCATCTCTCTCTCTCTGTCAGGAGAGTAGGAGTGTCTCTAGCCTTTCTCTGACATGTCAGGTCGGGTAATGAGAAAGATAAGGCATGGTCATTACACACACCATCCCAAAGACGAGACAGCAGTTCACAGATGTCCACAATAAACTTGACATCACATAGAAACTAGAAATGTCCAATCACCCAAGATTTGATGGATTCTGGGGAGATAAAGACGTCATCGATGTCCTCACACACTTGACCCACATCAAGAGTGTTCACAAATGTATTTATAAGAGGATTGAATGTGCTTTACAGCTCAATTTATGTATGAAGAATCTAAAATGTTATGGATTTGAACATTTTACCATCCAGGTGCCTGTAGTTCATTATTTGTTGCTCCTCTAAATTTTGGGGAACTTCACTTCCTTTAAAGAGAAGCTTTGGCAGGACATTATTCAGTTTAGAATTTTATGAAGAGACACACTTACTAAACTTTTAAAGCCCCCCCAAACATTAAAGCCGTCACCCCAGCAACCAGTTGCCTTCACAAAAACTGGGTAACATCTTAAGTGAAAACATGATGGTTGACCTATTAAAACCTTTCAGAAGACACACGTTGAAGCCTAAATGAATAATTTGATGAGTTAAAGAGACATCACTGTATTTTTTTGTTTGAATTTTATCTTTCTTATCTATCACCTTTAACAACTTTGATTCAGGGTCTATCCAATGTTTAACTCATTTCAAGAACTGCCTTTTTTTCACCTGTGTGGTTTCACAAAAATCTGACAAATCCTGTTGCAGAAAGATGCAGAAAAACTAGTCCCTGCATTTGTTACCTGTAGACTGAATTAGTGTAATTCCTTTATCAGACTGCCAGCACATACACACACACACACACACACACACACAGAGAGAGCGAGAGAGAGAGAGAGAGAGAGGTAACGCAATCACAAAAGCGTGTGGCTGAGTACAGAGGAGCCAGGTCAGGAGACGTAAGGCGGCCGACTGCACTGGAGGCTGCTTACGGCCCAGGGCTGGGACACCTCCACCTGGGCGCGCACCCCACTATTGGCCAGTAAGGGGCCCACAGCAACAAGCACTGCTGCAGACCACCACCTGGCAGAGCTGAGTGCACACCACCAGGCAGAGAAATCCCAGACAGAGCCAGTCACAGCCTCCAGTGCAGGTGGCCCCCCTAGTGAGGAAACACTGGAGAAACAGAGAAAAACATAAAAACATAAACTACATTGCCTGAACACATCACACTATATTAAATTATAAAATACAGATAAATACCTAAAATATCATTTAAAAAAAGGTAAGAAAAAAATAGAATAAATTTAACATGTAAAATGAGGACTAAAATATATTTATAAAATAAAATAAGATAAGAATATAGATTAAAAATAAGACATTAGTTAAAAGCCATATTAAATCGGTGGGTCTTGAGCCTGCTTTTAAAAATATAAATGCTCTCTGCGGCCCTTAGATCCTTTGATAGACTTTTCAACAGATGGGGGCCATAGTGCTGAAAAGATGCCTCACCTGAAGTTCGTGTTCTAGTTTTGGGCACTATTAAAAGGCCAGTGCCAAAGAATCTGAGGGTCCGCGAGGGGTTCATATTGTAAAAGCAATTCTGAAAGATAAGAAGGTCCAAGACCCCTAAGACATTTAAAAACCATGAAAAGAACCTTATAATCAATCCTAAAGCACACAGGGAGCCAATGCAGTGATTTTAAAACCGGTGTAATATGTTCCCGCATTCTGGTCCTCGTCAGCACACGTGCTGCTGAGTTTTGCAACAGTTGTAGACTTAAGATGTTTCTTTTTGGAAGACCAGAAAGACACAAACAGAGGACAGCCAGGTGTTGAGGCTCAGCAGTCTGCTGAACCACCCAATCCCCTTTCCACAGGTTGGGGTGGGGCCGGAAATGTAAAATTGTGCATTGAACTAATTAACAATGTGGAACAGGTGGTGAAAATCCTGTTTCAGAAGTTTGGACTACCGTTTGGAGATGTAATTAGTGCCGGTGTGGATTATAATTTTCTCAGCCGCACATGTCTCACGACGGAGTCCCCGATGATGAGAGTTGATTGAGGCGCTATCGGATGCCGTTAAGAGGGGGCGTGTGGCCGTCATCGGAGCAACAGTGATTCCTGGGACCGACAAAGTTCCCGGTCCTTTTTTTGGTATCACCTACAACAGTCCACGATTCCCTGTGTACTGGAGTGGAGATCATTCAGTTCTTGGGTCTAGCCCCGAGTCGCAGCCAGCTATCCCTGGCCGGAGCTGCACCAGGATCAGAAGCCGCAGCGGGAGCTGAAGCACTAGCCGGTGGTGAAGACGCTGTGGCCGGAGAAGGGATAGCGTAGGGAGCAGTGTCGTCCATCTCTTCTGCGCTGGTGGTGGCTGGTGCACAGCCGAGAAGGATCGTGTCCAGAAAGTGTTCGGCCTCTTTCTGACTTTCTTATGAAGATCAACACAGCTTGGAGCCATGCCGGCACCTGCAGCGTTTGTTTCTCTGAACTTTTTAAGGAAGAGAGCCATTTGTTAAAAACCCAGATAAGGTAAAAGTTAAACTTAAAAACCAACAAACTTAGAGGAATGCAGTTGAAAAAGTTGCTTAAACTTTGACAACATTGACACATGCGCACATCTCTCCTGTATTCGTGTCTCTCCACTCGCTCTCCATAAACTCTACAGATAGAGCGTGAAGTCCTTCTTCTTCTGACTTACACAGCTCCTCATGGACAGGCATCATCATACCTTAAAAGATTTTAGCACCCCACTCCCCTGTCGGAAAATTATGGTTTCAGCATGCAGGCCTGAAGTCTCTAAAGTAGTATGGGATCACCCTCCCCTCCTGAACACCATCTATGGAGTGCTGCCTGTGTGGATATGACACACGCCCCATGACATAGATCAGTAAAACCGTCCATTTGTCATGTAAGGTTAGAGAATCACTGTTCAAAGCTTAGCTGATAGTCTTTAAGTGTCAAGAGGAATGTAACAGGAAAAACTGAGAATACTGTGTCAGCGAAGGCCATGGACAAAAAATAAGGTCTCATTAATGCTCCGTTGAACCCAGAGGATCCGTCCATCTGTCCATCCGTCCATCCATCTATTAGGTGTAGTTAACTTTGCGTTGAATTTAGATTAATTTACAACAAAAATCTTTAGCAGAGCCACGCTCAATACAATTCTGATAAAGCTGCGACGGAGCTGATACGCATCCTGTATGTGATTAGATTGAACAACATCCTGCATTGGTTAGAATGGCAACCTATTTGCTGCGTGATATGCAACATTGACATTACATGCTCATGTATGGGTCCTGTATGTTTTAGTCCTTAGTGTCTATTTTGTCTTCCCCTTGTGTTTGACTTGGTCTGGCTAAGCAACTAATTGAGTTAAGTCTGTTTCTTTGGTTCATGCCTTATATTTTGCCCTGTTCCTTTGAGTTTTGATGAGTTGACCTCTTTTAAAGGCCTTCCTCTAACAGGGGGCGAGTCATGGGTATCGACACAAGTAAGTGTAAGCAGAAATTCACAATCTGTGCCCCCCCCAAAAAAAAAATAGAAAAAAAAAAAAAAAAAAAAAAAAATATATATAAATTTATATATATAAATAAATAAATATATATATATATATATATATATATATATATAATATAGCCAGAAAATAGACAGTATTACTCCACCTACATCTAGAATTGGGCCTCACCAACACCAGACAGTGTGGCACACTGTGTTCTGCACATAGAGAGCTCATTGTTAACCACTGTGCTGAAACAATTTAGCATGATGGAGAAAATCTGAGTCACGGTGGTAGGTGTTGTGTTATGCTTAAAAAGATAGGGACAAGTTCTCAGCACACTGAGGCGTGGATCATAATTTCTAAAGGCCTGTGTGGCAGAGTGTACAGTCTGGTTTCTTTACAGAAAAGAACACTGTGCAAACAATGTTGTGCAATGTAACACCGACACTGGTTTGATAATGTATTGATTTTACTTCTCAGACACGACAAAGATGCAGTATTTTTTCATTTGGTATCTGGACAGTATGTCTCTGAATCACAAGACATCCTGGGACAAAGAACCACAAAAGCTTTTGTTTTTGGCATCAGATAGTGTTACCCCTGGTTAGGAATACATTTTGAAGTTTTGGGGTATATGACTCGGTTGCATATGCTACAAGGTGGGTTGGTGAATCCTTAGACCCTGTGCAGCTTCTCTTTTGTTGTAGAAAAAGAGCAGCATCTGGCTGTGTGTGTGACAGGTTCATGACACAGTTTGAACCCCAGACACCCAGACAAAAGATAAATCCTATATGTCTAATTTTTAACCATAAATTGGCTTATATGATACTTTCCTAGTCATCCCAACCACTCAAAGTGCTTTGATACTACTCATCACATTCATCCATTCACTGATGGCAGAGGCTAGTGAGAGATAATCAGTATTTTGTATATGAAAATGTCACCTTGAGCAATTTGAGGTACCAAAGAACACAGCCATAAGAAAGCTTGGTTTGAAACCCCAACCTTCCCACTGAAAGATACCCCACTTCACTTCTGATTCACACTTCCCCAAGCTTACAGTTCTTGGTTTTTATAAATAGTTCCACATCTAAGTACTAACCAGTCACTGCCCCACTTAGCTTCTGATATGGGATGAGTTTGTGCTTGTTTAGGGCAGTATGGCCACTTTTTCACCCCACACAGTAAATAAACCAAGCTGAATGAGACAAATATGATTGTAAATCAACAGTTTAATGACAGCAAAGTAATAATCACAGTCACCAACCTTGTATGCTTATCAATTATTGACCAAATGCATAATCTAAAACAAATCTGACATGGCCTCATTTGTGTAATGGCCTACCTGACCCATCAAAACACAATGGCCTTCATTTATCAAGCTTGCGTTCGGCAGAAAACTCACGTCCCCCTTGCGTACGTAAGTTGCCACGTGAGAATTGTCACTTATCAATCTGCACGTGAGCGTACGCTACGACCAAATCTCACGACAGGTCTGACATCGTGTACGCAAGTTTGAGTCAGTGTGGATCTGCGGCGCAGCAAATGTCTGTCTCAAAATAATTGATATACAAACCTCAAACCTGTCATTAGGCACAGTCAGCCTGATTTTATTAAAGATTAAGACGTAAATAAAAATAAAATAAATTCGATATGTTCTTAGTGCGCTGCGTTTGACTCCTAAAAGGCAGGTGTTTCTGTCTTGGTCCAGCAGCAGGGACGTTGTTGTACACTCCTGAAAAGGTGTGGGACATCATTTGAGCCAGTACAGTTTAGCACAATGTTGCACTGGTGAATGGAGTGCCGTTGGCTGTGCCAATGCAACGTGTGGACCTGTTGCCCAGAGAACAATAACGAGGAGAGACTCCACAGAGGAGACAGGACCTTATCAATGGATTCTGACATGTAAAGTATAAGTTTAGAAAGTGTTCTTGCTATTTATTCAGTGATAAAAATCCAATAGAAATCCATAAAAATGTGCCTCAGGGGCAGCAACACACCGTTTGGTGAGATTAATAATTATTTTTGTTCAGCCTCTGTCAGACCCTCCAGTCTGCTCTACATTACAAAGACGCAACAAATTAAAACTAAATACGTTTAATAATAGGAGCAACATACCTAATTTCATGGCAATAAAAAAAAAAATGAGGCATGTATGAGATACTAATTTATCATCATGAGCAACTTATTGACTAATGATTTATTCAAACTTAAGTCACTGTCCGCTATTCTGCAGCAGCGCTGTTCACCGCCATCATAATCCTGCTCCATACAGGAGTTTTCTGGACTGCTTTATACCAGTTTTGATGCTTCCAAAGAGAAAATCCATGTTAGTTTCCACCACAGATGTGAGGATATCCACTTTCAGCTTGGAAAAGTTTAGAATCTTTCTAATATTTCTTCTCTTTCACGTTTGACCTCAGTGGGCGAGGCTTCTGAACCATGAATATTTAAGGACGTGACATGTTAATGATGATCGATTTCAGCCACCGCATTTATCAAGACCCGATCATACGTACGCTGGGATTGGTCAGATATGAACCCTTTCATAAATCTCACGTGTGTCCTATCATAGGATGAATCCTACGCTCAGATCTGCGGGCCATTTAGGGCCATTGTAACAGTAATTGTTAAAAATCCCACTAACTGATCAATAAAACATATTAAATTAGGATACGACAATCCACACAGGGTCAAAGTATAGAGAATAATAAAATATCAACACTCAAACACACATTTTAGTTACTCACCATTGTTGTTACTTATTGAAGACAGTGGTGTTCCTCAGAGTTGTGTGCTTAATGAATCAGTCTTTAATTGTATCAAAGTCCCTATTTTGTGACAGATTTTTGTGGCAGTCAAGCAGGCCTTAAGTGACATGCCTCCTTTGTGTAGTAAAAGTCAAAGGTAAAGCAGGCTGGAAAATGACCATGTTCATAACCGTCATTTAGCTGTTTTGGACTTTGTGAAAGTTGACTTGATGTTTTGGCAGTTAAAACTGACATTGCTTTGGCTATATGTGCCAGGGAAAAGGGGGAGGGGAGTTCATTGGCCACCAGGTGTTCCTGTTTGAGCACATTCATGCTCGCCCTTGTGGGGGCTCGGACCCCAAAGCACCTATGGGAGGTGTGGAGATTTGACAGAATAAGTCCACTTTGAATGAGTCTAGTGAGGAGGGGAGGAATAAGAATAACTTTATTTTTGAATTTTGTCACATTTATGATATCATTGTGACAAAATTCAAGATGACTGAACTTACAGTGCCTTAGGTGGTACATGATGCATCAATCAAGTACATCATCTGAAAGTGATCTCTTTTTGACTCTCTGAATAACAATAAGCATATTTGGATATAAACATTATACATTGTAAGTGTCTATTCCAAGTTATGTTAATATCGTTTGGCTCCAGCATGTTTTCTAAGCAGCAAAACAATATAATAATAACAACACTGTTTTTGTAAGGGAACTGTTATGTATCCTTCAGTGGATACAGTGACTGCAGCAGATATCAGCAGCAGATATCCTGATATACTATGATATACTACAGATGTCTGAAACAGGAAAAAAATAAAACTATTTAAATATGTGTTAAAATATCAATAGCAACAGCAATAGCATAATCAGTTTCTTTTACAAAGTACATTTAGCTTCAGGTGTAAGATAAAGCTAAATTAAGAATGGATGACAGTCTGTTTACTCAAGACATGTAGGCTATCAATCTTTCTGTAAAGGGCCAGTTCAAAATGAATAATATGTTAAGTCTCTTCACAAAAAGAAAAGAGAAGAAAAGACAATGTTCTTAGAGGTTTTGTGTTATGGCATGCTTCTCACAGCTACTACATTTATTTGATGATTCGCTCTGTCAAGAAGTGATTAATTATCTCCCCTTTAACCATTTGCCCCCTTCCCTCCTGAGGTGAAAACACTTTTTTCTCAATGAGCAAAGCATGACAATTAAAGGCAAGAAAGCATGGCAGAGGCCCTCTTCTCTAGACCCATGTGTTTGTCTATTTATATGTGTGTGTGTGCATGTGTGGGCTCGTGTGTGTGCGATCGTATGTGCATTGCTGCGTGTCTGAAGGAACTGTGAGATATCTTGTTGTGACATGCCTTGTCTTCTGTTTTGCAGAAAAACAAAGACAGTTGCTGTAGGATTCAGACAGCATAACTAATTAGTCACACACACGCGCACGCACGCACGCACACTTCAAATGCTCAGAAACACTTACACAGCATGGATACATATGGGAGCCCATGAGTCGAAAATGATGTCACTGAACCATAATTACCCAACATAAATCATATGAAGTGACATCCTGTCACAGGGTGAATGGATGTCTTATGTGCCAGCCAGGGATGGCTGCACTTCACTTCTATGTTGCTGTGCCGTCCTACTACATCTCACTGCAGCCAAACTTTTTAAAATGTCTTTGTATTTCTCGTTTTTCTTGATTCACCATGGCCCTTTAATAATGATATAGATAATGTAAAGTTCTCTTTTGTGTTTTCCATCCTGGAATAACAGAATTAGTCTGACAAAGCTACACTGAGCAGGGATTTTCACCTGTCTCGCTCATATTTTTTCAAGGTGACTCTTCATAAAAGTTTTTGATTATTTTGATTAAAATAACCAAAAATGCAACACATGAAATCCAGGTTTATGGCTGAACTACACAGTTATTTTCCAACATTTTTTTAAAATAATCAGATATGATACAGTACTGTTAGATTTGATTGCAAATCAGGAAGTCCCTAAACAACAGGAGTTTGATGGCAAGCTTAGTTTCTTTTTTAAATGTGCACTCAAGGAACAAGCTGATGTGGAGGGCATCAAGCCTGGCCACTGGAGTAAGCTTGTGTTATTTATTTATGACCCATAAAGACTTTTTAGTTAAACCATCTGCCTTCAGATCACTGTCTCATGTCTTCTGTAGCCGCTGATAGTAAACACAGAGGAGCTAATGTGTGGATGTAGCGGTTTCATGGTTAGGACAGAGCTAGCTTAATTTTAATCAAGGAACAATGCATGCTAGTAATTACTCTGCCTGTTTACCCTCCTGTCGTGTTCATACCCCTCACCTTACTTTAGTGTTCCCGGTCAAATTTGACCAATCTATTTTAACTGCTCTTAAATTAACACAAAAGCCATTAATCACCACCAAGGGCTCTATTTTCGTGCCTTGCCGGAGACGTGCCGCAGGCGCGGCGTAAGTCAGGTCCGCTGCGCCGACAAAGCGTTCCCAAGCACAATTTGGTATTTTGGTGAGTAGCTTAGCCCGGCGTAAGTATCCCCCCTCCCTAACTCAGCTCCTCCCAGCGGCGTAAGTCGTAGCGAGAAAGTAGATCACGCATCTGAGCACTGAAACAAATCAACTGTTCAGCCGCCGCAGCAGCAGGACGGAGAGAGGACACGTGTCCAGGTCGAGCTGTGCGAGAAATAAGAGGAAGAAAGAAAAGGAGGGAGACGAATTACATATCTTGTTAACTTCATCATGTGTGTCTATTTACTAGATATTTAATTTAATTTAATGCGGTTTCAGCTGTGTTGATTCGGCCAGGTTGTGTGTCCAAACGCGTGCCAAATGCGCTCATCAGATCAGATATAGATCAGAATATATCTATACAGATCTAAATGTATGTGCTGACTCAGATTAATAGTTATTAATTATATTTATTGCACTGAAATGTGCCTGACACTGTGGAAACCTGCCGGTGAGGTATCAGTGACATATGCTGATACGCCGCCGGTCTACCAAAATACCACTAGAACAGCTGCGCTCCGCCTGTGCTGAAAGCTGACCAGGTTTGAATCAGCGAGCTTTCAGCGCACTTTACACGCCGGTGGCGAGCACAAAAATGTCACTGAAAAATGGCTAGAATAGCTTATTTTTGCTCAGTTTTCCATCGTATTTCATTTATATTTGCACCTATATCCAGAATATGAATGATCTTAGCTTCATGGAAGAATCATTTGGACATACCTGCATGTCCTGGATCCTAGGGTTAACAAATAACTTCTACCTATGCACCCTGAAATTTTGTTGCTGGTTTCCCTGTGAAGTATTCAAGGCTATTTATCCTGAGCCCATATAAATGTTTCATATAAATATGGGATAACATACAAATGAAAAAACTCAAAAAAAGCATTTTGCACAATGAGGAAGTAATATTTTACACAAGCAGGCAAGTGGGGCTGACTCCAGATGAGGTGAGGACTGTATAATGTGCCAAATATGGCGATTTTTGACCTAATGTACCACGCATTTTGTGATGCTAGTGGACATGATAGTCTTTCTTTAGTGTGAACATGAAGAAAATTGAAGGACGCGTATTTTTTGCTATTTCCAATTTAAGTTTTTGGTCTTTTATATTTTTTTTCTGGTCCAATTTGGGAAAAAATGTTATGAACAAAAAGATAGAACTTGAAGAGAGCTTTAAAATGACACCTGAATCAGCTCTATAGGTGCCATACTTCCAGAGATATGAACACTTTTGTAACGCATGTCATGCTAGTTAGCCAAAAATTCATTAGCCCCTATCTCACTAATTAGATGGCTTTGAACAAAAATATTTGAGCTCTGACAGTTTCTCCTGAAGGCCAATCACTCCACTAAATTTCATCAAAATCTGTGACGTGAGTGGAGATTCTTGGTTGAATTGACATGGAATGACCCAGAGGAGACCCTCTCCAAACACAGAATTGCGGGATATGGTGAGGGACACGAGCCGGCAGAAGAAGAAGAAGGATCTTCATGTTGATTACGAGGAGCTGAAGGTGGCACATACTGTGGAAAATAAGAGGCTCACGACACAAGTCCAGGAACTGACTGAAAATAACACGGTCCTCCATGAAGAACAGGAGAAGATGAGAACCTCATACCAAGCACTGAACTTCCAGTATGCAACTGATCTCACCGCTGCGAAACAGGATGTTGAGACCCTTCAACGTGAGCTGCATCAGGCTCAATATGATGGACTCTTACAGGAACAGACAATCAAGATCCTGAGAGCGGAACAGGACGCCATGCGTCTGAAGATACACCCTGAACTGGGTGTTTTGCACAAAAAAAAAAACCCTTGTGGTTTTCCCTCCCATGGGAGAGTTTTTATTCCCCTCCTTGAGCTACCACCTTACCGTGGTGGAGGGGTTTGTGTGTCCCAATGATCCCAGGAGCTAAACTAAAGAAAAAAAAAGAAAAGTATTTTTCTAAAAAAAAAAAACTGGAAAAAAAAAACCAATAACAACAACAACAAAAAAACCCTTTACCGGGTGTTTTGCACAAAAAAAAAAAACCTTGTGGTTTTCCCTCCCATGGGGGGGTTTTTATTCCCCTCCTCGAGCTACCACCTTACCGTGGTGGAGGCGTTTGTGTGTCCCAATGATCCCAGGAGCTATGTTGTCAGGGGCTTTATGCCTCTGAAGGGTCACCCAATGCAGACAGGTCATGGGGGAGGGACCAGACTAAGAGTAGCTCATCTAGACAGAGGTGCCAGGCAAAAAAATAGTAATAAAAAAAAGAAAAAAAAAGAAAAAAAAAGAAACTAAAAAACAAAAGAAAACTAAAACACCCTAAACCGTTTTTTTTGCACATAAAATTATAATAATTAAAAAAAAACTGCAAAAAAAACTAAAAGGAAAACAAAAAAGAAAAGTATTTCTGAAAAAAAAAATTAAAAACAAAAAACAAAAATACTGAAGGGTCACCCAAGTCTGGTCCCTCCCCAGGACCTTTCTGCCTTGTTTTTTTTGTGAAAAACACCCGGTTTAGGGTGCTGTCTTTTTTTTCCAGTTTCTTTTTCAGAAATACTTTTTTTTAAGTTTACTTTATTTTTTTCCAGTTTTCTGCCTTTTTTAAGGGTTTTTAAATTTTTGTTTTCTTTTTTTTTCAATTTTCTACCTGTTTTGAGGTTTATTTATTCATTTATTTATTTTGCGCCAAACACCTGGTTAAGGTTTTTTTTTTTCTTCAGTTTTTGTTTTCCTTTTTTTTCTTTGCCTGGCACCGCTGTCTGGATGAGCTACTCTTAGTCTGGTCCCTCCCCCAGGACCTGTTTGCCTTGGGTGACCCTTCGGAGGCATAAATCCCCCGACAACGTAGCTTCTGGGATCATTGGGACACACAAACCCCTCCACCACGTTAAGGTGGTAGTAGGTGTGATTATATGATTGTGATCGATGATCGCGATAAAATTCAGTTCAATCATTGTGATCAGCTATGAGATTATTTACTCAATCAAAGATGGTGGAAATGTGCTTCACAACAGCCAATCAGAGTCGAGCATTTCCTGCTCACTTCTGTAAGTTACCGGAAAAATAAACATGAGAAGTGAACAGAACGACTGAACGTGGAGCTAAACACGGAGCTGAGGGCAGCAAAATAGATGTCAGCTGTGACTTTGAGTCATCCTCATAAGATGTTATAGTTGAGAAGTTATTCAATGTCTCTCCAAAGTGACATCGAGCAATTAAGCTGATAAACCAGTTGGCAACACAACAGATCTGTTTAATCATTTGAAGAAGTTCTTCCCGAGTGATTATGCAGGAAGCATGAAAATGCGAGCAGAGTCTGCACAGCCTGTCACTGCTGACAGCACAAGTAGCATTAGACACAACTAGCGGTGCAGCCACCAGACCAAAACAGCGATCAATCATATCCATACCTGCCAACACTCCCATTTTTCACTCTCCCGTGTTTCAGACCTGTCTCCCACCCTCCTCCCGTATTGTCATTTCTCCCGGCAATCTCCCGTAGTTTAATGGTCCACGTTCATTCATGAATCCAATCACTGTATTTGTCCAAATAATAATAATAATAATAATAATCATAATAATAATAATAATAATAATCATAATAATAATAATAATCTTTTTGTATGATATGGACTTACTGGGTCTGAAATAAAGTTTGTAGATAGATAGATAGATAGTAATTTCAGCATGTAGGTAATCTGTGTTTGAAATATTACCATCTTGATCATGTCATGTTGACAATAGTTTGTTGACACTAAAGAAATGGCAATTGCATATCACTTTCACCTACACAGGACAGTCGTTAGCTTTCTATGGTTTCTATGAAATGATTCTGGAAATGACATGAAACTGCTGTAAGGACATAGGCCTGCCAGATTCTTTATCCCAGAGACTTTCTGTAGCCTCATTGTTTGAGCGATATACTCCTGCTAAAATCAACAGACCTATGTAGGCTTGGAGGTCTACCAGGTCCAGTTCTCTCCAAGGTGTCCCCAAACTCACGTTTCCCCTCCAGGTTTGTCATATCCAGTATAATCCCCTCAATGGACTCTGGTAAAAAGAGCTGGAAGCTGGACTTGATGTCATCCACACGAGATGTTGCATACCGTGTTGGCCCTGGCGTCATCTTTATGATGTTTTCCACTCTCTTTCTACCACTTCTGTCCCTGGGGGAATGAAGCCCAGAGCGAATCTCCATTCTTGGACTTCAATGTCTCCTCAGGTGTCTGCTCTTCAGGTGCTTCCTTCTCTACATCAGTTGACATGTCAGTATCCTCAATGTCTGGGTCAAAATCGGTGTTGTCTTCCACTTCTGAGACATCCTCCTCTATCTCTGGCTCAACCTCAGTGCCCTCTTCATCTTCAAAGATGAGGTCTAGAGTCTCTAGTGGGAGGGCAGAACTTAAGTGTGGGAAAGAGATGTGAACCCCACAAAAAATATAGTTCAGTCTGATAGTTTGTGTGTGTGTATGGGAAGAAAATGGGGTTCTCGTAACAGACACCTGTCTAGTCTAGTAAAGAAATGATACACTGTTTAATTTGGGAGGTGGTTCACGTGGCAGGGTCAGATGATGGATGAATATAATCTGGATATCCATTCATCTCCTATGGCGGTCACTTTTGACCGGGAACACCACAGATGTCACAAAGTTGACTACAACATTCAAAGTTTAATGAAAGTGGTCATTATCACTTTTATATGTTCAAGTGCACAGTGTGGAGGGTATCATAAGGTCTTGAGGCAATCAGATGTAAAATACAAAATTTATGAGTGTTTTAAGTTTTAAATCGGTCAGAATTGACCCGAACACGACAGGAAGGTTAAAGGTCATATATATTCAGTCAGGGTGGCTGTGATGTTGCCCTCCTATCAGTGAGTCACAGTTTGATCTGTAGCACTTCCTGACAAACAGTGAACCCAAACACAAAACTTTTGGTGCAGTCTCTGATTGGTTAGTTTGCAATTTCTGAATGTATATGAATGATTGATTAATCATTAAAATTGTGAATGAATGTGTGTATGAAAGGGTGTACTCTAAAATTTGAAAAGCATATTATAGGAAGACCAGGAAGGTATTATACAGGTTTAATTATGGATGCATTGAGTGAAAAAAGTTAAGTACAACTTGACTATCAAAAGTGTAGTAACACGTTATACACAACCAGACTTAAACAAACAAAGGACATATGAAGTGATACAATTCGTACACTGAACATGACATACAAGGTAATAAGAAGAAGGTAATTTGCTGGTGTTTAAGTTCTATGACTGGCCCATCCTCATACAGTGGATTAGTATGCCCTTGTAACAGTGAATGGTATGTGCTGTGCAGTATACGTGTGCTTGTCCTTTGTGCCTATATTGGTAAGTGTCCTTGCTTTAGAAGAACAACACAGCAAGTTTTCATTCCCTGTGGATAGCCACACATGTATTACATTCACACAAATACACACAGGAACACACACATTTATGAGCGAAACTGCTGATGGTGCTGAATTAAGCAGCTTCCCTGTCACTAAAGCCCTTGAAGTGTGAAGCAGCTCCAGCGGTCCTTCTGCTGTTCCAGTCAAACACACACCTCTACTTCCCACACTGCCACTTCCTCCTCATCTTATCCCTGTCTACAGCCCCCACCCCCCCCTTCTTGTTCCTGCACTGATTCTAAGCATTCATTTGACTGCTGAATCTTTTCAGAGGCAATACTGAAAAGATGTGTAAATCTCCAACAGCCTATTTATAAAATCAAGTTGCACTACAGTGGTGATGAAGTGCTCCATTTCTTCCAAACTACACAGAATGTTTGCAACCCCCTGCTTTCTTCTTCTTCTTCTTCGTCTTCTTCTTCTTCTTCATGGCTTTCTGTTTAGAGTCATCCCTCTCTAACAAACTGACATATGAAGACATCCTTCTTTCTTAATAAAAACTCGACTGCTCCCCTTACATACCCTGTAGCTCTCACACTCTATTAAAATGCACACAGAGGTTTACTGAGCTGCATTTACCTGCTCCTTGCAGTGCTCTTTCCTTACATAAATAAACCAGTGGCAGGTAGGGTCATCACATCTGATAGAGTACACTCTGGAGAAGAACTCAGGTTATGTTTGCGTGCTGCCTCCTGTCTAGACGCTGACCAAGGTCAAACATGGGTAGACTTATAAGATTTGATGCAGAGGCTCTTCAGACTCTTGCATTATTATCTTGTCTTTGTTTTTTTAAGATTATTTGAAAGCTAAATATGGGCATCCAGGTTGAATTTGAGCATAGTGTTAGCAGAGAAGAAAAAACAATGTTTTACTTGACCTGCAGCAAAGGAAGCTGAATAGGAGGAGGCTGAAAGTTGTCGATAAACTACACAGACATCCACTAGTCTCTTTTAAGAATCATACCCATGTACTTTTGTGTTGTACGTTTGTCAAAAACATCTTGTCCTTTCTCCAAAGGTCACAGCCTTTGTGTCAACTGTTTTTTTGCTTCCACATATTTTTTCCTCTGCAGAAGTCAAAGCTCATCTGTGTTTACTGAATAATGGTTACAGAATAGCAGTTTCATTAGTAGAAGGGCTGTTTATTCCATGAGAGAAGTGCAGACATGAACATTTTGTATTCTGAAGCCAAAGAGTTCTTTGCGAAAAAGCACTTAATCTTTGAGACATATCTAAACAAGACAATGTTTGTCAGACAGAGAAATATCATAACTTAAATGCCAGCTTTGTGTTTTATCTTAAATTCCCTATTTTATTCATGGCCTGTACAAATCCTGATTCTTGGTGTAAACAGTACTTCTGCAGCTTTCCTGATTACTTAAAGCTCATATCAGGAGTTTTTTTGGTGTACATGAAATTCATATTGGTGTCTGTTTTTAATTCCCAGAAGCAAACAAAACTTACAATTTCCGTAAGGCCCCCTCTCATCACGGTTTGGAGTCGGCCTGCTCCTAGATTGGTTCCCAGGCCGACTCCAGTGCCTGCTCCAAGGCTGACTCCAGTGCCTTCAGTACCTTAGCACTTTAGTATGCAAAGAACAAGATGAGAAAAGACTTCTCTGTCCACAGGGGGCACCAAAACCAACTGAGAATGAAAGTTTCTCTCTGAGTGAAAAATACATTGATCAAGTACATATAAGTTCTTGTGTAGCCTACAGCCTAATTATGCAAAAGTAATACACAGGATATACTGTCAAACAGTTGAATGTAAAACGGGGTTTAACTTTGTCTATGGAATACAATGCACCTGATGTGAGCAAAAAGGGCATTATATCCCTGTAAGTCACCTTAACACACTTTTCATGAAAAGAAGCAGAAACATAAACAAACAAACAAACAAACAAAAAAAACCAAAAAAACAAAAAATGAAGCTCAAAGGTTGATGAACTTTTTATAAACATAAATGATTCAGAGGAAATTGTCAGAAAGCTTCTTGGCGTATAGTGTAGTGAAACACATTTTAAAAACCGATGGCAGATGCACATCAGTTTCTTATAAATCGGTGAATTGAAATTCACTCACACATTAAAAACACACTGCAGGCTGAAGGACTTAACTTTTTCTTCATCCTTATCAACATCTGTGGTACGATCTTGTCAGAAGGTTTTAGTTGCTTTAGTTGTAACTAGGAGGATAAGAATACAGAATGAAGGGGTCAGTATAGTAAGCGTTTTTATTTTTATTTTTCAGATGGAAAGCTTTGTAAAAGTATAGAAACACAGTCAAAGACTTGAAGCAGTAAACCATCTCAGGAAAGTGCATCAGTGAGAGAAATAGAGAGCGAGGTGGAGAGGTCGATGAGTTTACAGAGAGCACATATATAATAGTCATTTCTCTGTAAGGTAAGGAGAGGCAGAAAGTAATAATGATAAATGTCCTGTGACATTCTGAAAGTGGGCCAAACCAGAGTGTGTTAAAGATGGTCCATATGGTAACCAGGGAGTTTGTGGCAAGAAGGAGAGTGAGGCAGGCCCTCCCTCCTCAGAGGTAAGGGGAGGGGCTTGCCACTCATCAGAGTAAGTGAATGCACCTGAGTGCTGAGAGAAGGAGAGAGCAGACAGGCAGTGCAGGGCCAGGAGAGAGGTGACAGGAAAGTGAGACAAAGAAAAGTTTGTGATCTGACTGGAGAAATAAAACTGAAAGGACACCAGCAACGGAGAAACCCCCCCGGAGTGTGTGGAACCGACCATCTCAAGGGTCAATGGTCAGGCACTCGGAGCCTCCTCATTCTGGAGTAAAACCTTGACTGTTAAACCAGCTCAGATAAGTTGACGTTAATTGTTTCCCGGCTTTCCCCGTCCTCTTGGTCCCTGTCTGGATTCCCTGTTCCCTTCCACCTCCCTCCCCCCATACACCTACAACACTCCACACCACATACCAACAAACTTGAACTGGACTCTTTTGTTTTTTCACATACACCCACACACCATCCCCCCCACACACACACATCACTCACACACTCACATTTTGGACATATACAAAAGAACTGGACTTTACACACACCCACACACACACACACTCATTTATTTTCTCATTTTTGCTATTTTTTAAGGATCTTGGGACTATTATTTAAATTTGTATTTGGTTTTTGTTGAATGCGGTTTTGTGCTGTTTTGATTAGTTTGTTTTCCCTGTTTTGCTTTATTGAACATTTAACTTTGATAAAAAGTATTTTTTCTTTACTCTCGAATCTTTTGTTGAAATTTTGTAGCAGGGGTATCGATCGAGCTAGTCGTATTTTCTTTAGAATATTTCTTTAGATTAAGTCTCAGGGTATTTTGATTTTTTTTTATAAATTCATGATAGGATGATTAGTTCCCCTGTCTGGCGCCCAACTCCAAACCTAACCTGAGCCCTCTTTTTGAACCCCTACGCTACAAGTTGGAGAAAGAGACTTTTTCATCTGGGCACAGTTTACAGTCAAACAGTACAGTTTACAGTCACTGGTGTTATGTTTAAATGCAGCACAGAACAAAAAGTCAAAGCAAAATTATTAATTTGAGATTAAAAAAACAAGTGAAAAAAAACAAGGACCCCCCCATTGAATTGACTGCCAGTAAGTAGACCACACACTCGCTCAAAGAGGCATGCCAAAAACTCAGTCAAAGTCAAAGTCAAGAGGGCTGATCCTAATCACACACACATGCATGAACACACTCTTGATAGGAAGCAAAGTTGGACGCTGTGTGTCAGTCAACAGGAACTAGTGGTAAAAG